TTTGCCATGATTTGCACATTGACGGCCTAAATGACTGACCCAACACATCAGGATACAATTGTGCATGATGACCACCAACACCTGACTAATGAGATGATATGCTTATATGTGTTGACTTTATACCAATGTCCAGATTAAGCCAACCTCTCTATTATATGGTTACACTTCATTAGATGTCATAATGACACATGTACTAAATATTAAACTCACATATAGAATTGTACTTGTGCAAGATAACAACCAGTCTGATTGCTCGGATGAGGAAAATTAATGCTTATAATATTTATACATTATGCCAATGTCTAGACTATGCCAACCTCTATTGTAAGATTACATTAGATTTCATTATGATACATGTACTATATCTATATAAAATATACATACAGAATTGTACTCATTCATGATAACCATCAAAGTCTGATTGCTCAGATGAGAAAAACCAAAGGTTGTAATAATTAGGCATTATGCCAATCACTAAACTATGCCAACCTCTTTACTGTATGATAACATTAAATGTCATTATGATACATATACTAGATATAAAACTTACATATTATATAGAGCTATACTCATTCATGATAACCATCATAGTCTCATTGCTCAGATGAGAAACTAATGGTTGTAATAATTAGACATTATGCCAATGTCTAGACTATGCAAACCTCTCTACGGTATGATAACATTAGACTTCATTATGATACATGTACTACTAGATATATATCTTTTATTGACTCTTTAGATGTCATATCATGACATATTAGTCACTAAGGTAGAGCAGTTCTTCCCATTGTCGAATTGAAGAACTGGTATCTTTATCCTGGCTAGAACCATAGACAATTCTAGCCAGCGCCAGCCTTTTATCGAGTTAGCAGCACTCTAGTAATCGCCGGTATAGGTCAGCAGTCATAGGTCAAAGACAAATCACAAGAGGTTGATATAAAACTTAAATATAAAAGAAGTTCATTCTCCTATATACTAGATTATGGTAATGAATGAATTACAATGAATATGTTTGAAATGCATTCATCTTTTGTCGAATGAATGCTGCTAAATTATAAAATTGACCACAACCATATTTTAACATTTTATGAGCTAGTGTTCTAAATTATAAATACTTTCGAGTGTCAAATAATTAAAATCTTCATATTGTAATATCAAGCAAAGTCAGTAGATGTTTTTTGGATACTAATTGATGTTGAATCCCAATGCATTACTAATTTGAACCTAGGAATTGAATGTTTTTTGCCTGTTTTCCCAAAATTGTCAAACTTTGGGGGCTTTGGTAAGGGAGTAAGATAAAGTTGTAGAATTTTATTTGACTATTTACTTCAGAAGAAACATGGTTTCATCTTTAAGGTACATAATGTTCCAAAAGTGTTATTTTGGACCACTTTTATCCTCATTAAAGAAAGTGAAATGTAAGAACCTGATTATCAAGTGATGTTGCCATAGCAACTTAAATGTTAGACATATTACACAAATGATATGATGAATTATTTTATCTTCACTTTTAATCATATTATGTGCTTCAGATAGTTTAAGAATCAAGAATATGAAGACAATAATATGAAACCACACAAAATAATGCATTTTTAAGGTAAGAAATAGTGTTCCATTACTGTTGCTATAGCAACGGATATATATTTTTTCTTACTTTTTGTCATACGAATCAAACATCATACCAAGAATACTTCCTGAAAATTTCAAGTCAATATCATTATTAGTGTCTGAGATATAAAGGCGTCTTATAGTACCCCCTGTAGATTTTATTAGGGGGGTATGAGAAATGCTCTGTAGAGAGTTGCCCAAGGGTGCCGCTCCGGCATTCCGTGGTTTTGAGGTCCCAACCCTATATTCATGCTGAAAAGTTAAAAAAACATTGTAATCCGAAGAAAACGATTGATCCTCAAAATACCCCATATTTCTTCCAGACTAACAGGTGGATTTGCTGAAGTGAGAATTTCCCATGTTAAAAATAAGAGAATTTTGAAGAGGCCATACATCAGTGGATGAGATTATACAAAATGTGAAATATACAAATTTTAAGGGATATGTATCTAGACTATATTGGAAATTATGGGCTTTCAGACGACCATAATTAGGAAATGGTGATCGAAAATCGACCTGTCATTTATTTTTGTCCCCAACTGTAAGAACTTAGTTTGGTGTGATAGGGGGGTTAGAGTTAGATGATAATGTATATTGTACAGATAACACTGCGTTTGAAGTTTATTTGAAATAGACTAATTTTTATATTTTAACTTTGGTTTTCTGTCATCCTATATATCGCCACCCACAGCCTTAGCCCCAGACATTACACAATCATGTTTTGATCAAATATCAACCTCGTTTAAATCCATTATCACATTTCCCTATCCAAACAATGTGTTCCAGTTCATGTACAACGTTATAACGTATATGAACATAATAGCAATGTACCAATACATATAGTGTCATGCAAATAAGTTTGTCAGTCCACTTGCAGGGGCGGATCTGGGAACCAACAAGTGGGGGGGGGCCAAACTTGTGGTCTGAGAAAAAAAATTTTGGGCCCCAAAAACCCAAAAGTGGGCCCAAATTTTGAAATTTTGAGGCCCATTTTCTTCAAAATTTGGCCTAAAATTTAAAAACAAGGCCTTAGAAGGCCAATTTAAGACCTAAAAGGCCTACTTTTTGGGGCCTTAGAGCCTTTTTTGGCTCAAAATTTTTTTTGGGCACAATTTTTTTTTCTGGGCCCACCCAAGGGGGGGGGGGGGGGCCCGGGCCCCTGGGCCCCCCCCCCCAGATCCGCCAGTGACTTGTTTGCAAAACCGTTAGCAACCGAGACACTGCTAAACTCATTCGACAAGATTCTGGCCTAATTTCTTTCACAAACCGGTGTGAAAGAAATTATTGTTGTGATTTTGTTGAAAATCATTGTGATTAGGGCACCAGATAAATCAATAGAGAGAAGGACCAAAATTTGATAGGACCACCTACTCTTTTACACCTGCATAAAATGTGGACGTCGTGTATGGATTTTTTTTAGATTTCACTTTAAAAGAGCACTGCAATTGGCAAGTTTGTGTATTAGTATCAGCCAAGATATTCCAAAGACCTTCAGTTAAGGTTTGATGTCCTGTTGCAGAACCATTATTTTCAATACTTAAAAACAATGCAATACAGGCATTCCTGGCTTTATTTTTACAAAAGCCAAATTCCTTAGAGGGTTAGGCTAAATTACGTTAAAACGGAGTTAAATAGAGGTCCTTAAGTGAGCAAAAAATCCAATTTATGTTTTTTTTAGCTCACATGAGTGAGCTATTGTCATCACCCACTTGTCTGTCCGTCCGTCCGTCCGTCCTATGCGCAGTCTCAAGTCTGTGGACCCTGAAGAAAGATAAGTAACATCGCAATCAAATCAAGACAATGAAAGAAGAAAATGAATGAAGAAACCAATGCAGCAACAACAAATGACGTCCGGACGTCCGTCTGTCTGTCCGTCCGTCCGTCTGTCTGTCAATACATCGGTAGCTAATTCGAAATCCCCCACGACAATTGGAACGATTTCACTTTCAAAATATACCCGATCAGTTTCAGAGCTGTGTTTAGAACGGTAGATTGCAATTTCACGTTGGTGGCAACGGGAATCAATATACTTATGTCTTTTGAATACTGTGCTGGCAATTTTGATTTCGGTGCATAGTATAATGCTTTCTGAAGAAAGTGATGTATGTCATACATGTTTTAGCTTCAAAGATCTTACGGAACGAGCATGTTTAGAATATGTATCATAGAAAACCAGCTGTATAACTATCAATGGCATAGTACACGATGATGTGTAGTTTAGGTAACGGATTAAGTGAACATTGTGCGACGATTGTTTTATGCCTGGGTCACATTTGCTCCGATCCATCGGCTGGCGCCCGGCCGATTGAGTGTTTTGTTCAATATTTTTAGTTTTGAACAAAATACTCAATCGGACGGGAATATAGTTCATTATCTAATCGATTGACTGCATCTGACAATTAAGCTAATAATCTCCAGGCACCAAAAGATGGATACTGGCACGTTAATTTTTATTTATATCCAAAGAACATGTGTACGTTTTATAGATTTTATTACATAAAATATAAGATATTACAATTTAACCTTTTTGGCATGGGGAGACGGCTATCTATCGATCAGAGCTTGCGTAATTGTATACCAAAGAAACGATTACGTAATCATGAGATAATGTTACGTAATGACAGCGCAAAATCATGATTATGCAACCTTATATAATCATTAATCTTTGGGATAAGAGAGAGACCACAGAGGACCGAGTGCTGAGATAGATAGCCGCCTCCGAAATCCGGGCCACCCGATACCCCCTATTAAGGGGGCGAAGGGGTGGGGGCGGGTAAGCGTCCGACTTCCTCAAGATGCAAAGCTAAAACTGTGTAAACCAAACTACTACAGAACAGTTGGTATAGCATTAAGATAAGTTATTGTCCCGGCCTAATTGGATCTGTCAACAGACTTTTAATTGGGCTGGTAGGACAGACACCGTTCTCTGTGATATAAACCAGATTTAACAAATACTTGTTAAATCACAAATTGATTGTTTTATCTAAAATCTGACTTCTACTTCCTGAATTACTTGTTTCAAATGGCATCGTCTAATGTGCTCGTAGTCTCATATAATGAAGATAGTATTACCTAAGTTTCCCGATAACTGTTATATGAACAAGCTTGTCTGATCACACGTTTTGAGCTCTAAAACCCCAAAATTGGCCCGAATTTTGAAAATGTTAGGCCCATTTTCTTCATAATTTAGCCTAAAATAGTAAATATAAGGCCTTAAAAGGCCCATTCATGGTCAAATAGGCCCACATATTGGAGCCCTAAGACATTTTTCTCGGCCCACCCAAAGTGGGAGGGGGCAGAATAAAGCCCCTAGGCCCCGCAGATCCGGCAGTGATGCAGATACAATTTGACAATATTGAAAACATTTATCTTAATTGCTTTGTTTTTTGCAGGAAATGATTCGGCAAGAGAACATTTCATGTTGGGGCTAAAACTCCTCTCTTGTTTCTGGTATGATTTTGCGGAGAAGGAATTCCTGATAGCGCAGAAAATTGACCCTGAGATGTGCTTAGCGTATGTCGGAGAGGCATTGACGAAACGCATGTTCTTGTGGAACTCCGACGATATCGACGCTGCAAATGTCATACTTGCGAATATGACGTCAGCATGTTCTGTCGAAAGTTTATCTCAGAGAGAGCAAGATTACGTTACGGCTGTACAATCATTGTTTAACATCACCAAGAAAAACGATGGTATGGCTAGGACAACGTCGTTCGGTGATCAAATGCAGGAAATACACGAGGAATACAGGGACGCACAAGCAGGGTCTTTAAGAGTTCTTGCTTGGATAGAAACAGCTGGATCTAATGAAACTAAATTGCAGAAAAGCAGGGAGTACATCGATGAGATTTTTGAGGCCAACCCGAACCATCCTTCAGTGATCCACTATGCATTACACGCATACGATTTCTCTACACCCGGAGTAGCCATCCGCGGATTACCTTATGCAGAGAAGTATGGCGACGTCGTTTCGTATGCATCTCACGGGAATCACATGCCAGCTCACATCTATATACGTCTTGGTATGTGGAAGGAATCCGTCTTCACAGAAAAGATAGCATTGGACGCAGGTGATGATTTCACGGATAAGTATGAAAACTCAAGTCTGTTATACGACAAGTGGAATCGTTACCATTCTTTGGAATATCTACAATATTACCTCTTACAGGTAAGAATGGCTTGTTTTGTTCAATGTCACTGTTACGTATTTCTCTAGATTATTTGTGGATGGTCTGTGTTTTACAATGTCACTGTTACGTATTTCTCTCGATAACTAGTTATTTGGGGATGGTCTGTCTTGTACAATGTCACTGTTACGTATTTCTCTCGATTAATTGAGGATGGTTTGTCTTGTTCATGCCACGGTTACGTATTTTCCTCGATTATTTGGGAATGGTCTATCTTGTTCAATGTCACTGCTACGTATTTCTCTCGATTGTTTGGGGATGGTCTGTCTTGTTCATGCTAATGTTACGTATTTTCCTCGATTATTTGGGAATAGTCTATCTTGTTCAATGTCACTGCTACGTATTTCACTCGATTATTTGAGGATGGTCTGTCTTGTTCATACCACTGTTACGTATTGTCCTCGATTATTTGAGTATGGTCTATCTTGTTCAATGTCCCTGCTACGCATTTCACTCAATTATTTGAGGATGGTCTGTCTTGTTCATGGCACTGTTACGTATTTTCCTCGATTATTTGAGTATGGTCTATCTTGTTCAATGTCCCTGCTACGCATTTCACTCAATTATTTGAGGATGGTCTGTCTTGTTCATGCCACTGTTACGTATTTTCCTCGATTATTTGAGTATGGTCCGTCTTGTTCAATGTCACTGCTACGTATTTCACTCGATTATTTGAGGATGGTCTGTCTCGTTCATGCTACTGTTACGTATTTTCCTCGATTATTTGAGTATGGTCCGTCTTGTTCAATGTCACTGCTACGTATTTCACTCGATTATTTGAGGATGGTCTGTCTTGTTCATGCCACTGTTACGTATTTTCCTCGATTATTTGAGTATGGTCCGTCTTGTTCAATTTCACTGCTACGTATTTCTCTCGATTATGGTGTGTGATTGAAATGCTTGGTTGTGTTTGATTATTTGAAATACTTTGCTATGAACTATGAATACGTTAGAAACGTTCACGTTTGATTAGCAATTGATTGATAGAGGCAGGGAGTGGATCTTGGTTTTAAATCTGATCTCAAGTTACTATTTCAAAGTATATCAATGAGATCGAGAAATAATGGCTCAACATTTTTCTTGTTTCAAAAATGAAAGTTCGTAAAATTGACTTATTCATTTGATTCCTTCGTGATTCACACGTAGCAATACTTACGCATGCGCATTCGTCGTTTTCTGGACAAGGGCAGCCGTGCTTTGTCGGAAAACTAAGCATGACTGATAATGAAAATATTACTTTTTGTAAATATTATCATGATTGTGATTTACTTGATAAGTGCTTATGCCAACATATATCTACAAAAGTTAAGAATAATACGGATTTTACGTACATGTTCAACATTAGACATTTTAGTTGATATTGATAGCAGCTGTCTCTGTTATCACAATGCTTTTTGATGACTACGTGCCTGTCATTTTCTTTCAGCAAGGTCGGTTCAACGAAGCGAAGGTTTTAATGGAACGCATGCGCAGAGTCATAAGCCAGGCTGAGGTCCAGGGGGATGCACTCTTTTGGCAACATTGGTACCGAATGGCTGCTCGACAGTATTTAGAAACAAGGAATTTCAATGTAGGAAAGCTATCTTATCGATTGGTTATTGTTTTGATTTTTCGATAAGTCTCTCGTATGCGTTCAGTATTGAAAAACCGAGCAACTACATGTAGGTACAAAGAACTCTACTCCAGAATACGCGTATTGTTAACTTTAATTTAATTTATTTGACTCATAAAAAACTACACTTAAAGAGTGATCAAAGGTTACACTTAAAGAAGAATTAATTTATGCCGGCGTAAAAGGGTAGGAGGTCCTATCAAATTATGGTCCTACTCCCCATTGATCTATATTGTGACCTAAATACAGTTCTTTCCCTCATTATCTTATACGCAACCAGGGCCAGTAAGGGCCGTTAAGAAAGGGGACCATAATCCCCAGGGGACCATCATTTCTTTGACACTGGTGTAAAAAAAATATGGTCCCCTGGGGATTATGGTCCCCTTTCCTTACGGCCCTTATTGGCCCTGACTGTGTATAAAGAGTAAGGAAAATAATTGTAATTAGGCCACCATATAAATCAATAGAGAGTAGGACCAAAATTTGATAGGACCACCTACCCTTTTACACCGACATCGAGTGTGCAAATTTGTTATAGATTATTCTTAAAATTCCCAATAGATGTATCGTTTCAGTTACCAAATACGCACGCAATTGACCTGGAAACTCCGAACTGGAAACCCCTTGATGCAACTGAATTTTGGTCACCCCATTCTGAAGTCGGCTTCCATCTTGCAAGAGGCCTCCAAGCCATCCAAACCAAGTCCTCCGACAGTGGAACCATGATAGAAGGAATATTTGATCGCATCCGTCAAATCAAATTTGAAATGGCTCCGCAAGATTGGCCATATTTGAAAAAGACTGTCGTGTTTTTGACAATGCAGTTGAATTCAACGTATGAAGCAAGGTAAGGCTACGATGTATATTACATGTATTACTGCACGCGATTTACTTGTTGGACAATGGATCGAACATGGGTAAACATAATTTTTTTTTTTTTTTTTTTATATTTATTTATTTATTCATTTATATAATATAACAGTACAATATAGTCCTGCGGCTGGGCTTAAAGCATTATTAGCCACATCTAGAATACTTATATAAAGGGGTAAAAAATAAAAATTGTAAGCCTAAATGGTAAAAGGCTTAAACTGCCTGGGGTCTTTCGAAACACTGTCTGATAAACAGAGCACTGGATGCAAGTATTTCATGGTTCTTACTAAGAGAAAGAGATGGGTGACCAAAGAGAAATAAGTCAAGTTTATCTTGTCTATTTTTGCATAAATGCCTGTAGTTCGGAAGTAAATCAAAAAGCTTCTGTTCAAAGCTTATGTAGAATGGTTGTCGAATAGGACAAGAAAATATTACATGTTTTGTTGTTTCACTTTTGTCACCACATATACATTCAGGTGAGTTTACATTGACAAAGTTATGGGCATGAAGGTGAGCATTAAATATGAGGTCAACTCTTATTCTATTCAAATATATCTCGTCAGCCCTATTAATGCCCAACTCTGATGCCAATATAATATCATTATTTAAGAACAATTGACTAATATTATTCTTAAAAGTCTTGATTGTATCACAGTTTCTAATCTTGGAGCTCAAACCGTTGAACTCAGTCATACACAAGAAGGTGGGAGATCTAGAGCGTATTCTTGAGCGACGTAGTGGAACTTGAAAAGGTATTACATTACGAATATCTCTGATATTTGGTTTTTTGTATTTGTCAAAAATTGTTGAAACATAATGAGGTACATTTCCACATTTCACTTTGAACATAAATGTAAGTCTATGTATCTTTCTACGAATCTCCAAGGTTGGCCAATTCAATACATGGAACAGTTTAGTAGACGAGGTTCCAGCAATTGTACCTGCACATATTGTTGCAGCTTTATAATAAAGCCTATCTAGACTCTTCAGAGTTGTTAGGTTTGCACATCCGTACAAAATATCATATAAATCAAAATGAGGCAGAATATAAGAGTTGAACATAAGCTTCAGATGTTTACCACCCAATTTTCTTGATATACTTTTCAAGTGGTTTAGCAACTTATCAATTTTATTAGCTGATTCGATAATATGTGGTTCAAAGGTAAGCTGGCTATCAAAAACTAAACCAAGATGCTTGTGGTTATTTACCTTTGGAATAATGTCACCACCCAAAGACAAAGAAGGAGTAAGCAATTCTGCTTTCCTAGGGTCAAAGAAATTTAACTCAGCACTTTTACTCGCTTTGAACTTTAATTTCCATTTGTCAGACCAATTGTAAATTGCATCTAGATCATTTTGTAATTCAGTCATCTTTATATCTATATCACCAGCTTGAAATGGCTGGTAGATGGACGTATCGTCCGCATAGAGATAACATCTAGAGTCAATATGGTCAGTTATGTCATTGATATAGATAAGAAAAAGAAGAGGGCCTAATATTGATCCTTGGGGAACTCCAGAGTTGATGTAACTTTCTTTTGACCATTCAGAACTTTGGCCATCGATGACAACTTTGACCCTGCGATTAGTTAAGTATGATCTCAACAAAGAGCATACATCAGGACCGAAACCATAACTAGGAAGTTTATTCAAAAGAAGGTTATGAGGAATTGTGTCAAACGCCGAGATGTCCAAAAATGCCGCTTTTACATTAAATCCTGCATCTAAATGCTCAGTCAAGTAATCAATTATTGTCAGTAACTGAAATTGAGTACTGTGGCCAGGTAAAAACCCACTTTGTAGATTATATAAAAACCTTATTAAATATGATTCTCTCAGTAACTTTTGAAAGACAGCTTAAAAGTGTAATTGGCCTATAATTTGATGGAGTATTTTTGTCACTTTTCTTATGAATGGGAACAATGTTACCAAGTTTCCAGCATTGAGGGAAACAGTTTGTTGCAAAAATCTTGTTGATAAGTTTAGATAATGGTTGAGAGAGAGCGGGGGCTGCCAGTTTTAGCATTTTATTACTAATTTGGTCTGGTCCAGAGGCCTTATTTACATTTAAATTCACCAACGTTTCGAAAACTTCATTGTAATTTGTTGACAGCATGTTAATTGACTCATTTGTACGAAGATGTAAAAAAGCATTATCAACAGGCCCTTATAAACATAATCAATAGAGAGGTTTCACCCAACGGGTAATAGAAGCTAGAATTTATCCTCACCCGCGTTTCGCTATCTACGTTTGACTCCTGGGCATTAATCTGGTTAATTCGTTACGGATTTCAGATACGTAGATGAGCTTAAAACGTTGTGCAAAACCTCTCTATTATTAGCCTTAGCTTTTTACAATCTATTTTGTCAAACATGGACATCGCCATATATCTACAACCTTAATTTTACCTTTGGAAAATAAACCAAAAGATGAGCATGTTCAATATTTTTCAATCAAATCTACCTTTAGCCAAGGGAGAATTGAAGAGGCGGTTGAGATCATGAAAGAGGCCGTGGTCGTCCAGGAGTCGATGGTCTTTTCAGGAAGTGATCCCACTCTACTTTATGTTTCTACATGGGAATTCCTGGGAGATATGATCCTCAAATACAAGCTAGAGGATCACTATGACACAGCAATAGAGATGTACAAGAAAGCTCTGTTAGCGAGACCCAGAAGAGCAGGTATTGGACGCTTTAGGATAATAAAAAATAATCATTGAAACATGTTACTCACACACACGCTCAAATATGAAACAAAGTTTGATTTGCTTTAATATTGGACCAAGAAAAAAACTCGCAGAGAAAAAAGCATTTGAAGTACAGAGATCATTAGTAGTGCATGCCTATGCTAACACCCCCAGTCACATTTCCCATGGCGACCGTGCGGTCTATCATTTATAACTCCGAGTTATAATTTCTACGACTACCCTGCGGCCTGTAAAAAACTGGATACACCGTACGGAGACCGCAAGGCGACCATAGTTTTCCTACGCTCGCCGCAGAAATTCACTGATTTAATTGTTCTGCGGTCGACTTACGGCCGCCGTACGACAAATGTGACTGGGGTGTAAACAAAGTGCATGTTTTAAACTACTCTTGATTTAAAAGATCGCGACACTTCTATAAAAATGAATGTATCATGTAATACAAACAACTTCGCCATCTTTCAATGACATTGACAAAAATTTGATATATTTTTTTTTGATAATTTATCGTAAGCTCTAATGTGGTATGTTTGAGCTGTTGTTGGTGTCAAATGAAAGATAAGGTTCTTATCAATTGCAATACATTGGACATACTATGAAATTAAAATAACATATATATTTCCAATCGCTCTTGAAAGTGTATTGTAGAAAAATGGACATTTGTACGCAAAGATATTGATGCCTTCTAATATAATCTGATGAGAAAAGGGAGGTTTCACTTCTAGGGAACGATAGAGGGTGTTTTACTTGAAACATACCCTGGTTAAATTGTGAGTGTTAAACAACAATATATTTTCCAGCATCTGTCTATGGTTTGTACAAACTCTACAAAAGGAAAAGACTCGACAGTGAAATGAACTCTCAACTGGAGGAGATTCGAAAAATCTGGTCCGATCCAGATACCGATTTTGAAGCTCGGGAAGAGATAGAGAAGTCGGATGATGGCACAAGCGGACAATACTCGATTCATAGTTCTCTGAACATCTTCATTGTTCTTCTTTGTGCTTTGAAGCTGATTTCATTATTCTGATGAATACGTCATTAATACACAGCTGCTTAAATTTCCTTGTATATAAGTAATAGTGCTCCCAAAAATGAATAGTGTTCCCCAAAATATATTTTTAAGTTTGTCCTGAAAAAATGAAATAATGCAAACACTTTTGTAATTAACAACACTTTTTCATTACTTGGGGATTTATTCGTCAGAATCCACTTATGTTTTAGGATATCATGGTAAAACAGTGTATTCTTGTTACCTATAAAAGCCTCCGAGAATGACTTCCTTCATCATTTTGTGGAGTCATAAAATAAACACTAATGCACGATAATTCTTATAGTTTTTGTCGAGTGCCCGATATTCCAAATATATGCATGAAAACGATGTGTTCTTTATTTGCTACTATGACGAAACACTCAAAATGACAGACAGCAATAAGTTGTGAAACGCACTAAATACCAGTATTCAGATGATTTAACTTGCAACTTATAAAGCTGACACCAGATAACTTCGAATTCATCGTCAAAACAAGTATTGTAATATATATTTATACAGTATAATATTCCCACTTTTTATGTATTGTGCACTTTTGGATATCAAAGATCCATCATGCTGATTCTACCTATTGCTCCTCGATCTCGTGAAACGTAACGTCATCTATAAGTTTTACCACATGGCCTTCATGGCAACTTTGGGGATTTCCTTCCTCTGACGTCACGTCAAGTTCTCGAGAGTTCAAATCTGACCTTAGATTTGAGATTTAACCTTTAGTTTACCTTTTAGTGACCTTTGAAAGGTCAAAAAAAGATTTTTAGATTGATTTTTTCATTCAAATTTAGCTCAGCTTAATTACAAAGACCTACATATACTGACGTTTGAAAAGTGAAATGTTCAAGGTCAATGTCATCAAATTAGGTCACAAACGATTTTGTGTTAGTTTCTCAAAGTTCCAGAAAAATCGCTAACCTGTTCAACTTTACAGATGCAAGTGCAACTTATTGCGAAGACCTGATTATGTTTGGGGAATGCTTACTGAATCACACATGGTGACCGTTTTGATCTTCAAATGTGCGATATTTCTCACTATGTGTTTTGTTAATATGAGGATTAGATCATCTTACCATTCATTACCATCAACTGAGATTAGCTTGTACCTCTTTGATATGAGTGCTGAGATCAGTATGCCTCTCTTTAAAATGTAATCGTGTCTTTTTAATGAATGGTGAAGAAGCTTTAATCAGCATGCATCTCTTTAAGGTGTTTTAGATCAAAGGTTAGTAGTGTTACATGAAAGTGAGTGGTGCCACATTAAAGAAGGTGGTATTAAATTGGTGGCGGTGCGAAAGCGATCAACCCAGAGAATGTATATTACATGTATTTTTACTTTATTGAAATTGCGTGAAGAATTTAAGACGGCCTAGTAGCGCCTGTTTACATGTTGCGCACAATACGCCCGTGCGTACCAAATGAATTTGAAAAAATAAAAATGTCTTAAATTGCATAAATTTGTTTGCACATTTATTGGAGTCTGTATTTGTATATTTAACCATTAAGTTTTATCAGAATAATAGAACTATCTAAAGTTGATATAAAGATTGCAGATTGCATCAAATAACGTCTTCGAAAACAAATTCCTGGGGAACCTGTACCCCCCACAAGATGCGCGGGCTTCGGCCGTGCAATCAGACATTCCCAAGTGGGCGTACCAACTCAAAATATAGCCTTACGCCCATGCTAGCATATATCTAAAATGATTACATCTCATTGTGAACAATTCATAACAATGGGAACCTATACGTAAAATACTTCTTTACAAAACCCCGTTTGTATTTTTGTGAACTGACACCTTTGACTGAAATAAAGTTCTGGCGCCGCCTCAAGCTAAGCCTTGTCTTAATCATATAACTTTTCATTAAACCTTTAACGTACATAGTATTCATTTTTACATATACTGACCAATTGTAAGTTTTTAATATATGACTCAACAGATGTATTTTCTGATTCTGACCAGCTCGTATTTCCCTTATATGAAGAGATATTCTAGCCTGTCTTTAGGTCAACAATATCAAGTATCAGGGAACTAAAAGTACATTTCTAAACAGAAGCGAAAAAGCAGTCGCTGAGAATCTTTGGTGTAAAACGATGTTTTTACGTACAGGGTGATACAAAGTTGCACAAAACTCACATCTAGTAAAAGCCACTTGCTGAAATAGTATAGTTTCCATATAGCTTTCGAAATCTCGTTTTTCGTGAGATTTTAAGAGATTTCCATATTAAACCTCTAATGACTTACATTGCCTTCTTTTAAATGGCATATTTGAATTTAGTGAAAGATTTCTCCTGTAATAGCTTTGATTTACACAGTTATGAAATTTGAATACTTTTCTATATATGACAATTTAAAAAAGCTAAATCAACTAACACCCTTTGATAAATCATGAAATTAAGCCACTTTTCCAAGATTTTAGCATGTAAGTGAATGGAACTCTAGCCCAAATTAAAAGAAACCGTATCACTAATACTGTTCATTGAATCTGGATTGTTTTTGTTGTTTAGAAGACAATGACATAAATCGAATTTCCGAACATCTTGATGTGATAACAGATCAAAGTTTTTTCCTAAAAACTGAAAGCAACATTCAATTTGCTCCATTTTAGATTGCATCATTATGGGAGAAAGTAGAGGTTTGTAAAGTAGAAGGTTGCAAAGTAAAGGGTTGCAGATGCAAAGTACAGGGTTGCAAAGTATTTATATGGTAGGTGGTTGTTGCAAAGTAGAGCGTTGTAAAATAAAGGGTTGCTGCAAAGTACAAAGGGTCACCCAGTATTAGAAATCGTGGTACCAAAAGCTGGTTGTAATCTGGTTGCAATTGAATTCTGGAATTACTCAGTGAAAATGTGACGCCTCCAAGTATTTATCCTTGCCTTGCTAGTGAATGAACTGCTAAAATACTTTGTTTAGATACTGTTTGTCTCTAACAGCATACTTTGAGTAAACAAAATCTGGTATTAATGTTTTTGGGAAGTTATTAGAATGTTTTCATTCGCTACATTGATGATGTTTAGCACTTCTTGTGCCAAATAATGACAAGACAAAACATATTTTCGGGTAATGTATGCAGCTACGTGACGACTGGTACCAATATTGACTGACCTTGAATCTACCAACAATAGAAATGCCATCATGAAAAATTAACACAGGTGATGAGACGTGTATTGCTCCAACGTGCTTTAAGACCAAAGTTATGTGTTCCATGTAATCAAAAGGACCAATCACAGAGTCAGACACAAGCGCTCTTCTAACTCCATGGCATCCTTGCCCGGCAACATTGGAGGTTTCGCTACAACATTGGCATAAATAACGTTTTTCAAAGATCGGAAATCACATTCTAGTTAAATATCCTATATACAAGGTTATTCCAGAGAAGAGTGTATTTAAAGGCTTATATCGACCGACAGAATGTATGCTCTATTCATCGTCGCTTCATTCGGGCTATTCTCGGTGGTATTTGGCTTCCACAACGGAGCACCAACAATTTCAACGGTATGTACCAAGCTGTTACCTTACCACGGCTACCCAACACAATCAACAGCCGCACCATACACAATTTCATACGACCCTACAAGTTACTCCCCTGGCAGTTTTGTGACCGGTAAGTATATAGGGGTTATGTACAGGGAATCCCGAGGGATATACAATATAAGATATTTTTATATCCCAAGGAATATTTCCTGTATCAAAACCGACCGTACATAACTGTTGTATTCCATATCTGATGAGGTTTTAATTAAATTAACGTTAAGCATGTCTCCCAAATTCTGATGTGTTAACTTGCTAACTTGAACACCAAGACGATAATTCTGAGCGACGTGTTCATTTTCTGTTTTTACTAAGAATTGATCCACATTACTTGTTTTTTAAGTTTTAAATTTTGTTCACTATGTTCGTTTGCCATCTCTGTCGGATATATCGATTAACAACGATTCGAAGTCATTTCGTAGTCGAATACCATGTGAAAATAATAAACATTGACTAATCGTAGCCGTCGGTAATTTCCGGAATTTTTGACTGGTTGATGGCCATGAATCGAGTTGACGGCAAATAATATCACCCCAGCTCTCACAGTGATATAGTTTCCTAGGGGCGGGGTGATTTAGTAGCCATCGGTCCAAATGATGTAAGACATCTTATCATGTCAAGTGATCGCTGGAATATTACACCATGCGTTTTAGAAAGGCGCCTAAGGTTTTAACCCGGTTTGAAAAATAGGTGTAATCACGATTGCGGTTTTACAAACAAGCGCTTTTCCAAAACTCCTGGGACCATAGTCACTAAAAACGCCTTAAAAATCGTTGGGCGCTTTAATAGTGTAGTGTAATGCCGATCGGTTTTTGTAAAACGCCTCACCCGGTTTTCACCATTTAACTAGAGGAAATAAGACGAAAGTTTAAGGGCCATCAATAACATACATATCGTAAATAAAAGTCAAGATTTTCTAAAATTCCATTACTAGGACGTCATTATTTCAATGGTTACAACAATTGTAAATCGATATATCGAATTTATAATTTAGGTTTTCTTGCGAAAATTCTATTAATTTACTCCTGGTAGATATCATCCTCCTTAGCAGGCTTCCAGAATCGTACCTCCTTAAAGGAAGACTAGATTCTGGATTTTGAAACCCTGCGTACGGAGGATGGGTAGATATTGGTTGGCTCATACCGTCAGAAAATGCCTATCCATTCTTCCTTGATAAAAGTATATGTACTTTTAGTGTCCATTACCGCCAATTCGGGGAGGAGACAGCGACATAACTTCAAGGGATTCCTGTTACAAGCCAGGGATTCAAGTGATAGGCTGGTTGGAGAGTTCCTTGGGCCACCCGGTAACACTAAAACAGTTAAATGCTCAAACCCAAAGGATTCCTTCACGCACGCTTCCAATCACGCCAGACGTTCGGTGACTATTACATGGAAGGCACCCGCAGAGGACGTTGGCCCGGTTACGTTCAGGTACGCCAGATCTCTAAAGACAAGTCAATGATAATCTTTGTTGGCATTTTGATTTTCAAATATTTGGGTTTCCGTCATTTAAGACGCAAATATTTTGCAGTTTTTCAGATCATCAACTGCAGCATTATATATGTAAAACATTATTTTACTCTCCATGGGACAGATGTAGTTACACATCGCACGAAACTGGGGACAATGCGTAACATTATGGCGTCAAAATACCAAAACAAAACAATGGGCAGTATAGGGCGCAATCAGCCTTATAACGTCAGAAACGACAAGCGTTACGTTTTGTCAAGTTTAGTCAACCTAAAAATAAGATGCTTTGTTCTTATTCAATCCTGGTAAAATTCACAGTGCAACAAGATCTCGAGGACATTATTTCTAAAATGTTTTTTGATTTTTGAAAAACGGTCAGGAAATCCACTCGGGGCGTTGGTAAAAATTGATATGTATGGGATTTGTGGTAAAAAATCGATGCGTTACATTTTTTCTCTTATTATTTGAAAAATAAAGAAATCGGTTATTGTTTTGTAAATTTCGCCATGACAATATTGTGCAGTTAAATTTTTTTTTAAATCAGACCTAAATTAGAAGGTTAAATAAAGGTAAACTTATTGCTTGTCTCCTTCGCCTTCAAAACCTTACACAATTTTGAAAATCATAAAAGCGTTCATATAAAACGATTCGAACTGTAGCCGCTAGGCAATTGTGATGTCATAAAAGCACATGTTTCAATGAATAAAATGTGAAATTTTAGTAAAATTCTGATCAGTATTTCAAAAGTTATCCCGATTTCAACGAACCGTGTAAGCGTGAAATGTTACGTCGTATAGCGTCTTACAGTCTTACAGACGATTTCGGGGTACATTCAACTTTAAAAATATGGTAGATCCCATCAAACTTTTCAAGTAAAAATAATTTCAGTGAAATGCGAATAAAAAATACTTCAAAATGATATATGAAACGCATAGCTAGCTTTTTAAATAAGGCAGATATTAACGCTTTTAGCTGAGATTAGCCCGTATTTCCCGAATTGTCCCCAGGCCTAAAATTGTCTGCTAGTTGGCTAGAGACCAATATTCTAGCAGAATTTGAGAACAGAATCTATTTTTTCGTTGTGCGTAGGGCAAACAATGATTTAAAACCACTTTCCACCCTTCTGTTTGTATAAGAATGGTCATGAGAGGCCCGTGGAGGGTCATAAAGGAAAGAAAGCCCTCTGAAATTCCGTTAAAATTGCAGGTTATTTCTTCATTTTTTGCTATAATTACATGATTTTGAGGGCCCACATCTCACTGAAATTGCTAGCGATTTTTCATTTTTACAGGCTAGATACACGTGTCAGGCTAACAGAAACAGTAAGCATGTGGGATTTTAAATCGCTACATTGTAGCAGTATTTATTTCAAAATACAGCTGTGGGGGAAACTGCTATTTACTTAGATTTGGGCGAAAATGGCCAAATTTCAGTCAAAATCCTCGGGACATAGGGCCTTTGTCGTAGATTTAGTCAATGATGCAACTCTTAGTAGAATGTGTGCCATATAGGGAATGAAAGCTGGTCGTCAGACGTATCATTTTCTTCAATAAACTCAGAGAAAGTCAGGTTAGATTTATGACGTCACAGTGGCAAAGTTAGACTAAGATATTTAGACGTATTTGGGGTAGGGAAAATTAACCCTTTCTAGCCTAAATGGATAGATTTTTTACATATTCAGCCAGTTCCGACGTTTTTATGCATTTTGAACTAAAAATGATATTTTCTGTCCAAAAAAGTTGCAGAGACAAAAATCAGTGTGATGTCATAAAACATTAAGGTATGAGGTTCCATATCCATCCGCCAAAAGGTGTAGTCCATTTAAAAACTTGTAGTTTTGTTCTAAATAACGCCATAGTTGGCTTCTAGGGTACCTAGTATGCCATTATTGGGTATCAAAATAAAGAGGAAGAGTTCAACTTTCATTTGAATTACGAAAATAGCGATGTAGGTCAAAAATAGTTCCGACCTGAGCATGTTTACTACGCGTTTGCCCGTCATCTCAGAATTGAGGAAATGGTAGCAAAGGCGAGTTGTAATAAATGGACGCTGATATCTCAAAAAGTAACCTGACTCCCTATAATTTGATGTAGATCAATCGAACCCCTATAATGAACAGGTACATTTTGATATATAACACTATGGGGGGTAAGCGTTTTATAGTTGATCAGGAACGCCATATGGGCAAAGTATTGTTCTGAATTTTCGAATTTGGTGTTGGATTGCGGTACTCATACCTCATAAGTAAAATTCCATTGGTTAAACCATACTATTAATATTTTGCATACGTCCGATTTCATTGCATTAAAATGCGATGTCATTGAGCTAGATCCGCGATGTTTTTAAAATGCCGAAACATTCTACTGACGGAATTTAGAAAATACATTGAATTTGGCCCCTGAATCAGCATCAAGAAAAATTAAAATTCTAGAGAATGGGGATGAACATGTCAAATATAACAAATCCCATCGCAGATTGGTCAGAATTAAATGTAGTGCAAGTGACTCAGATCCCTTCCTTTGTGGATATTTTTTCAAGATCGTGAATAAACAATAATTTGCCGAGTATCAAGGTGACACGCGGTACTAACTCTCCGGGGCGTATCGAAACCAAAACGCCCCGCAAAACCGTTAATTTGAATTTAAACCTACCCTTTCCTTGGAAAATCAATGATTGTGAGTCTCACAGTACACCGTTTTTCTTCAAACTTTTTCCATTAAAACCTTCACAGAAATACCTTTCGAGACATTGCTTTTGTGTACAGAGTCGCTCGTTTTAGCGGCGTTTTGGTCCCATGTGAGAAGATGCAAATCTCCAGAGCTTTCAACCAAAAGCCTCGATATATCGCCAGTTCTTTTATTATTCTCCCTTATATTTTGCACAAGGACTCCCATTAATTACAACCCTCCATCTCTGCATCAACATATTTATTACATTAAACGCAGCAATTTCCAAAAGTCCTACGCATCTGTTCGAAATTGATCAAAACGCCACGCCACGGACCAAAAACGCCGCTAAAACGAGGGACTTTGTAAACAAAAGCAATGTCCCGACTGAAAGGTATTTCTGTGAAGGTTTTAATGGAACAAGTGTAGTGTGAGACTCACAATCATTGATTTTCCAAAGACAGGGTAGATTTGAAATTCAAATTAACGGTTTTGCGGGTCGTTTTGGCTTCGATACGCCCCGGTGAGTTAGTTCCGCGTGGGTGAGGGCAGGAAGCAAAATAAAACAAGATAGACCATGGTAATATATGGCGCTTTGTCACAGTGCTATCCATCGGAATAATTGTTCTGGGACAGTATGTCGTGTTCGGTTTACTGTACTTAACAAGCCCGTTCTTTTAACACTTTCCCGGTTTACCTATGGCGCTGGTCAAGGTGTGATCGATTTTCCTTTTAAAGTTTATCAACGTCCGGATGCATGAGCAGTATTTATCCTTCAAAATGTTTCACTTTTTCTCTTGAAAATGTGTATGTTAAACTTTCAAGATAAACAATGAATGTTGTTCACATACATAGGTTGAAAAGAAATGCTTATAAAGGTCGCCCTATTGCATACTTCTATTATAACAGGCCATTGGGAGCCGTCGTTAATAACACCTTTAATTTTTACGCTTACCTAGGTAGTGAGGTTACTTGTTTTTTCTTATGTATTTTTATGTGATACTTCAGAAAATTTTTGTCTGACGCGCCATATCCGGGGCGAAAGTTGTCAAAATTGGGTTTTTGACCCTAAAAAGGAAAATTACAGGGGGTACATTAACATCATTGAATAATTCATTCAGTTAGTCTTCAATAATCATAATCATTTTATTGAGAGTTGGTGATTTTTAGAGTGCTAAAATGTTCTGATATCTGTTGATTTGAAAAATAATCCACATTCTATATTATGTACAGGTACAGGTTTTACCAAAATTAAGGATTTTCTCAGCAAAAATTGTGGTTTCCATGGCAACCACGAGTGACAGACCATTGAAAGTTTGCATACTACCTTAAAATGATCTCATCAACTCTCGATAAAATTATTATGATGATTGAAGACCAACTGAATGAATTATTCAATGATGATAATGTACCCCCTGTAATTTTCCTTTTTAGGGTCAAAAACCCAATTTTGACAACTTTCGCCCCGGATACGGCGCATCAGACAAAAAATTTCTGAAGTATCACATAAAAATACATAAGAAACAAGTAATTTCAATTTGTTCAGAAGCGGGTACATTTTTCGGTGCTACCTCACTAACTAACCCTAGCTAACAGAAACATCGAATACCAACGCCGTAGTGTCAGATTGGCCGTAGGACGACTTGCGAACATATGACGGCGTCTAACTTGATATTTGTCAAAAACCTTGCGATGTCCACAAATCTTGTTTTATCACTCAAACTCAGTCCTTATAACATGTATTGCATATTTTAATATGTGTACACTATGTTATTTCATAAAATTGTAACACATGAAACCACTCATCGTATTATTAAATGATTCTCTTATTATTATATTTTCCAGGGCTGGAGTTGTGGCCGACTATTTCAGGTATTGGGATAACGTGAGGAGTGCGCCAATGCCGTCGTCATAACTTGAATGTGACAAGAGAAGAAATCTATATGTGCATACAAACAAATTCGTGAAAAACAATTCCTAAAAACAACTTTAGAGGAGTTCATAGGTTTTTTATCATATTACACATCCTTGATTTATGTCTACAATCTGATCATAACACGTCGGGAGATCCAGGGAACAATGGGAACTTACAGATGGAGTGCAAATTGCATCAGGCCAGTAGCCGTGGTGGGGGCTTCGAATTCAAAATCAAAACCACCTGGCATTATGTAAAAATTGACCCCCTGGCAAAAGCTAGCTGCAGGCATGTTGTATTGAGAGGTTCTTCTTTCATGTAAAACAATTACAGTAATTGAAAAACTACATCAGTACTAACGTAAATAACTATTATTAGTAAACTACTATTCGAAAATGAGATCACAGACGTCGTGAGATCGAAGGAACAATACCTGATCATGGCAAAGTACATTGAAAAACTATTTGTTTGAGGAAAAGTTTAGATGTAATTTCTAAAGCATTTAATTTGAATTACATATAGTTATGCTGTAACCTCTTCACGTGTGTAGCTACTCCACGATATAGCCATATAGGGTGCATAATGATGACCGGCAATAGTATTTAATGCTTATTGAAATTAGATTAAATATATTACACAAAACGAAACTAAAAATTCAAGGAATCTTATTGAAGTAGGTATCTTAAGTGTAAGAGGCGTAGAAAATTAATCAAGTTCACACAGGAATAGCCTGACAACAGTAAAGTCAGATACCGTTGTCACAAATGGTTGACATAACCGTTGCTTCAATTAGATTTTCATGAACTGTAGGTTTAATAGAGCACCTAGAGTAGAGTAGTAGTTGGAACAACAATCAATCAAAGTGTCTTAATACTCTTTGTACAGTTAATAATGTTCTACCATCGAAATAAAGTCTTTAATTTAACCGATCAAAATGAGATACGGCAAAACGGACACAGTATTTACCATATGTCGTTGTCTTTCTAAATTACTCAAATTCAGATTCCGTTGTCATTGACGATATCGAAGACGCTATATTGTGGCGACTTACGACTCAGTTTGATCGACATTGGGATTTCATATGAAACATCATCACAAGAGCTTAATACATGCACAGAAGTAGCGACGATAAAATCCCATGTAATGAGGACCAAGTGATTAAACAGTCAGACAATTGAAGCGACGGTTATGTCCGCCATTTGTGACAACGGTATCTGATTTTACCGTTGTCAGGCTATTCCGGTTTGATGTTGTAATCGTACAGGCAAAAGATTAAGACGTTTTTACGACTATAGTACTAGCATGGGATAAATATCTTCTGTTGATGAGGTATTCATATCTTGTAAAGTAAATTACTACATCCATTTGAGCTTATTGAGAACCATACATACTTCTTTCACACATAAGACGAATCCACACATCACTTTCCAGTGCCTTTGATTATTTAAAACGAGGTTTCCGCTCGGTCCAGTATTTATTTTCCGGCAACTTGATTCCATACTGGAGAGAATTATTCAAATCAATAAACTGTAACTCCCGCCACAATACATTAGAGTTCCAGAACGCCCATGGGCGTTTACTTCGTGAGGACGTTTAGTCGAAAGTCTAAATTCTCCAAGAGGTTGGTATTTTAAAATGGGCAAAATACCATACAATGGTATAGTTACCATAAAGCTGAATAAGGCTTACATAATATATATCTCTTGTTTGTCTTTAATTTGCTTGGACCAAACTTCCATTGACTTCAATGCTAGAAACTTGCAATAGTCACTCAATCTCATGATTTACCAATAAGTGTTGGTCGAATCTGTCTGAAACTCGAGTGGCATACTATTAGATGACCCTGTCAATGTACATATTGTGATTAAACGTGAAAATGCTGGTTGTCATACGAATAAACCAAGGTTTTAAGAATTTTAGCATTGCATCAATGGAGATTTGGCCCAATTTTTTTCTTAACGGAAAATGATTCAAATGACATAAATGTGTGAATCAAAGCTATTATTGGAGAAAACCTTTCACTGAATTCAAATATGCTATTCCATATTTGTCACTTCTATGACACATGTTTTAAGCATTTTATGAATTCGTTGATTCCACCCCCGCGATGACTCATATTTTTTATTGACTGTGGTATTGCAATATTTAACACCGACACTCGTCCGAGCTGTTCACTTGTATAGCAGAGCAGCCGAGGTGACATCACTCATATACGTTATCAGAACATCAAAGTACACATGAGTCTAACAAAAATCAAACAATTGACAGTGCTAGGGATGCTGACTTTCTGAATAAACTGAAGAGGTACATATTCATCACTTTGCCAATTCTTCACAATCTAACACATTCTTATATAAGATGAAGTGGGAAAAGCTACATTTCTGCATTTTTGCATGCCTAGTGGTATCGATCAGTTCAAGACGAAATAAAGACAATTACGTGGACAATCAGTCGATTCTAATCGAGAATGGTAGGTGCAAAATCTCCTGTGCCAACTCTACTGATGGTTGTAGTTTTCTCTGTGAGGGGGTTAACTTAACAAAAGGATTTCCGGAAATCCCCGGATATGTGACTGATTTAAAAATCAAATCCTGCATTATGTCAACCATGATCAACTATTCATTTGGCATACTGCCACTTCTAAGAAGTATAACAGTAATGAATTCGAAAGTGAAAACAGTTTCGAATGATGCTTTCAGCATGATGTCAAACCTAACAACAGTGATAATTACAGGCAATTTGCTAAAATCAATTCCACCAAACATATTTTGGTTGCCTTTGTTAAAGCACGTGGATTTATCCAGCAATCTTATCAGGGATATCAACTTCCCTGACAATTTAACAACAGGTGGAAACATATCTATAAATCTGTCAAATAACTCAATCGGCGGCATACTGAATGGAACATTCCGCGAATTCACAGGTTTTGATGCAGTGTCGTTATCTTTGGCTCATAATAATATTTCAAGTATTAAAGATAATACATTTTCTGGAATCAATCGTTTTAACACTCTCGATCTGAGTAGGAATGACTTCAAGACTAAGGTCTATCTTATGGACATAGGATATAGCATACAGACAATACCAACTAAGGAGTTGAAATTGGTCAGGTGCAACTTGAATCGTCATTTGGACTCGTCTATGTTTCGGCTGATGTCCAAAACAGACATTGAGATCCTTGACCTTAGCGAAAACAGTTGGGATATATGGCCAAACGATACATTGATACACCTCCCTAAGCTCCAACATTTCACCGCCGATCACAATCCGTGTTTTGCTTTTTTCTATGCTGCAGAAGAATTGACAAATGCCCGATACGTCTCACTGGCCTCGAATGCGTTACTGAAAACTCAGATAGTTGGAATAATTTTTAAAAATTCGCCGAAGCTAGAGTATCTTGACGTAAGCAGCAACCATTTCCAATTCAAAATCAATTTTCATCTATTGAATATTTCATCGCTGAAAACATTCAATTTTTCTAACAATAACCAAAGAATACACAAGGCAAGGCGCAAAATGTATTTTAACTCGTTAATGCCGAATCTAGAAATCTTGCGACTTCACGACATTAATGCGGACTGGGTTAATTATATTGACCTGGGAGATTTTGTAGTTACAAACATGTCAAAACTAACAGAGCTAGATCTCAGTCACAATAAAATTTGTATAAGTTGTTCAAGTGTAATTGACAAGTTTAAAGGCTTGGATCGGTTACATAAACTCAATATGTCATATAACAGCCTTATACGTGCAACATTCGATGATATGAATGCGTTTTTCGATCAACTCCCAACACTTGAAATCATAGATTTGTCGTTCAACAGCTTACAACATCTGCCATATAACCTTTTCAATGTAATGCCTAATCTAACTACGGTTATTCTTGACGGTAATCGCTTGACATCTTTCTCCGATAAGTACTTGAGGAACAATCACAATTTGGAGAAGCTATATCTACAAAGAAACGCACTGACTTGGATAGATGGAAATACGTTTGCAAATATAAAATTACAATCCTTGGACATCCGGTCAAACGCATTTTATTGCAGCTGTGAACTGATTGGTTTAAGGAAATGGCTCAATTCCAGAAGCGCGACTATTAAAGTATATGGGGAAAACCAATTCTGCAAAACTCCTGGAATATACAACGACAGAACCATCAAGACATTTGAATTACCCTGGCTTCAATGTTACAACCATCTTCTCATAATGTTATCGGTATGGATTGGTGCTCCACTTTTGCTTGCGAGTGTGGTCGCTGTCATTGTTTCATATTTCCGTTGGGACATTAAATACTGGTGGATCCTTCGGAGATCGCGACGTTCAAGAAATGGATACACAGAGGTATCTGGATTGGGAGATAACATATTCAAATATGATGGCTTTGTTTCTTACAATAGCGATAATGAAGATTGGGTGACCCAACAACTTTCACCAAATCTGGAACATTCTGATGATGACGTCAACGTCAAATTGTGTATTGCGGAGCGTGACTTTACTCCAGGAGAGTTCATTGCAGACAACATCGTAAACTCAATAAATGAGAGTAGGAAACTCATGTTTGTTATAACAGAAGAGTTCATCAAAAGTCAATGGTGTGCATTCGAGCTAGAAATGGCGCATTTGAGACAGTTCGATGAAAAGAAAAACCTAATCGTGCTCATATTTTTAGATAAAATACCGAAAAAGAAATTACCAAGGAAGATCCGTTTACTCATGCGCCATGTGACCTACGTTGAATGGGACGAAAAAAGTACTCGTGCCCAGCGGCTTGTGTGGAAGAAATTAAAGCTTAGCTTGCTCGACTTTCCGTGTGATCTGACCTACGGAGTTACCCCTTAATCGTGAAATATATATGCATATGATTAGGTTGCAGCTTCAATGTATGCTATCTATTTGAAAATATAAACTTGCTTTGCCGAGTGTTTGGATGTGGGAATTCCCATAAGACGTAAAAATATGTGTACATCATTTTTTGATTTGACTTGTGGAATATGTGCTTTACTATACCCTAATAAACGTGCATATGATGTATACGTGTACTGCGGTGGTTGCAGCATCACTTGTTGTACGTTACTTATGTACCATCTGTAAATAGGAAATATTTATTCTCGGTGCTTTATCATTTATGAATATTACTTACTTCTATATGAAATGATTGTACAAATGGTGAATGCCTTTGAGGGAAATAGCGCATGTTCCCGAAGCTGCATGCCGAGGGAACAAGTCAGTAGACAGGATATTCCCGAGGGGAAATATTTATACTACTTCCTTAAAATGTGGCAGTCACTATTTGTTTATTATACATACCGGGTGGGCATAAAAAATGAGCCGTACTTCGGCACCTGATATTTCCAGGAAAGATGGAGGACCAGTTGATTAATTTCTCAAGGGTAACATAGGGAACAGGCGTTTTGACTCATATTTTTTGTATTTTGATCCCATTACCAAAACTTTTCAAGGATGAAACTGAAATTAATTGTTATATAGCGAGATAAGTGGTTTCACGTGCACATTTTTAAAAGTAGAGGTACGAGGGTCATGGAGATATCAGGTGACAAAGTACGGCTCATTTTTATGCCCACCTGGTATACGCATAGTAAACAAAAAAGAAGGTCTTTTAATTACAACATTAATGCTTGTAGGTCACTAATGGCATATTATAAATAAAAAATAGATATAACATTTAAAGAGATAGATGGTATGTATTAGATATATTTACATCAACAAAGCGCGCTCCTTTAGGTTAAAGTGTGTTTTATGTTAAAGTGTGTTTTATGTATATCAGATACATTTGCATTATCAATTAAAGTTATTTTTGTGATTTATAAAATTAATTTGCAAGAATACCGGGACGTTGCCGTAGGGCTGAACTTATCTGAGCCCCATTGATAGTTATACAAATTAACAAATGCCCAGTAAAAGAAAATATTATCTGTCCAAGACAAGAAAAGGTATTTCACTTTTTGTGAATCTCCCCGACCAAGAAGTCACATTTTTAAAGAAAATTGAATTTTCAAAGCTGATGAACTCTTTTCAAAACCACATTTCTGGATGGAATTTTACATGTAGATTCGAAATATGACATCAGTTTGACTGAATTTTGAATTGTTAATGACGTTAATTAAGATAATTTCTACTCGCACCTAGTCTATTTCACCAATGGCTAAAACAATTTCATCACTCCTTGGCAGTGATATAAAAATGGTAAGGATGAGTAGTCCGCTCTGCAGCGTATGGCTAGGCTATGTATGAGTCCACAGAAAAGAACACAAGGAATTTCAAATAATAGTTCCTTGCTCCGTTTCTCATGATTAGATAGTAAACCGTGGCCGTGGAAATAACCCAAAGATTATTGCTCACCTCTATCGGTCGTCAAGATTACTACTATAGAACAATAACAATATAAGAAGATATATAGTCTTGTCAACGTATACATTACGTTTTCGATATTATCTTTAATATAACCCACACATTGGCATTTGTATCATAAAAATCGAACCAGTTAATACATTCACAAGACTTCCGATTTTAGCACTTAAGAAAAACATAAACATATGTTTTGTATGAAAATCGTCCGTAAAATGAACATACTTTTGGATTGGGACAATTAAAATAGATAACAAGTGTTTTTGCGATTTGATTTACGGCTGGGCAAAATCTGACGTAACCTTTTGGTCAGATGCGTTGGTCCTTTAATATTTGCGTTGACGTTGCGTTGCGCTCGGTAAATGGTTCAATTCTTGTTTTGAGCTACAGTGCAATTGAAGACGATACAGGGAAACACAGGGTATTGGAAATTCCAAACTGTTCCAGCATATCTTTTGCATGTATTTTCAGAAATTAAATACAGCCTTTACAATATTTAAGAAAGGAACATAAAATGTATTAAAATGAAGCGAAATGAAAAATGAAACAATTTTAAGGGTGGCAATAACTTATAGATTATGAAAGAAAGAGATGAATCATATATCAAATACCCTGTGTATAACATTAAAAACGTGAACAGGGAAGTATAACTCAGACCGCATTGATGTGATCGTGTTTAAGTTTCATTTAAATAACAATATATACGGCTTGGTTTTTATCGAACAAAGAGGCATCTACTTCCTCGAAGTTCTTACTAAATTTCGCAAACACACGATCCACCTATAGCTATATATAGCTAGACAGGTGAGGTAATTTCATTTGGCTTCCTTCTTACGACCGATGTGAAGAACATTATTATGATTTTATAACAAACATAATTAACACTTCGTGTTCAGTTTGGAATTGAAGTTGTCTTGATTTAAACGTGCTATCAAAAATCAGAAAGTGAAAGTGAAGGATGATGAGGGTGGCAAAGATACAATTCGGCGCACTGTCATGCCTCGCAGTTCTATTGAATCTGTCCAGTTTAGCGCATTGTACAAGCTCTGATGTGAAAAGATTAAATGGCGATGGGATTCCAATAGCTAATGGCACGTGTGATCTAATATCTTGTGGCAACTTTACTGATGGTTGTATTTTCCTTTGTCAGCGAGTTGACTTAACAAATGGACTTCCGAAGCTTCCTGGAAATGTGACTGATGTAATAATTGACTCCTGTCATATGCCAGTCGTTGCAAAATATCCGCATGGTTTGCTACCATTGCTGAGGAGTATAGAAATAACGTATTCTAACGTGAGAACAGTTTCGAATGATGCATTCAGTATAATGTCGAACCTAGAAACAGTGATAATTACAGGCAATTTGCTAAAATCAATTCCACCAAACATATTTTGGCTGCCTTTGTTAAAGCATGTGGATTTATCCAACAATCTTATCAAGGACATAAGCTTCCCCGATAACATTACTGTAAGAGGCAGAGATATATCTATAAACTTGTCAAATAATACAATCACAGGTATATTGAAAGGAACATTCTACGAATTCACATATTTCGACGCAGTTTCGTTATTTCTGGCTAGAAACTATATTACCAATATTAGTCGTCATACATTTGATGGCATCAGGCGTTTTAACAGTCTTGACTTGAGTGGGAATAACTTCAGGAAAGGGGTCTCACTGTGGGATGTAGGAGAAAGCATACAGGAAATACCAACTAAAGAGTTGAAATTGGTCAACTGCAAATTGAATCGTCATTTGGATTCGTCAATGTTTCAGATGATGTCAAGATCGGACATTGAAATGCTCGATCTTAGTAACAACAGCTGGGAACTGTGGCCAAGAGACACTTTGAAGCACCTTCCATATCTTAAAAACCTAACGATCAACCACTGCCCTTATTTCGCTTTCTTCGAAGCCGCAAAGGAATTGGAAAATGCTACATACGTGTCACTAAGCTCAAATGCGTTACTAAAAACACAGATCATAACGGAAATTTGTAAATCATCTAAGAAGCTAGAGTATCTAGACGTAAGCAGCAATCATTTCCAGTTCGAAACCAAGTTTAGATCGAGGGTTTCTTCACTGAAAACATTTGATTTTTCTAACAACAACCAAAAATCAAACAAGGCTATGCGCAAAGTGCGTTATAATGAAATAATGCCCAACCTAGAAACTCTTAAACTCAGGAACATCAATGCAAACTGGGTTAACTATATGGAAGTAGGCGACATAGTTCTGACAAACATGTCCAAACTTGGAGAATTAGATCTGAGTTACAATAGAATTGGTATCAACAGCTCAAGTATAGGGAGCAACTTTAAAGGCTTGAATCAGTTACACAAACTAAATATTTCATATAACAACATAGCACACGTCTCCTTAGATACTTTGAATGCATTCTTCCATGAACTACCAACACTTAGAATTGTAGATCTGTCATTCAACAATATACAACGTATTCCATATAACCTCTTCAGCCGAATGTCCAATCTAACCATACTTATTCTTGAAGGAAATCGTCTGACATCTTTCTCTGATAAATACATGAGGAACAACCTTCATTTGACAGAGTTATGGTTGCAGAGGAATGCCTTAACTTGGATAGACGCAAACATTTTCACCCCATTACATTTATCAATTCTGGACATAAGGCAAAATGCTTTCTATTGCAGTTGTGACCTCGTGAATTTTAAAAGATGGCTTAATACCAAAAGTGAGGCCATTACGGTACTAGGCGAAGATCAATCCTGCAAGACTCCTGACATATATGAAGACACATCCATTAACAAGTTTGAATTGCCATGGCTCCAATGTAACAATCACCTGACCATAATGGTATCAGCATGGATCGCTGCACCGGTTTTACTTGCGAGTATCGTTGCTGTCATCATCTCGTACTTTCGTTGGGATATTAAATACTGGTGGATCCTTCGAAGATCGCGAAATTCCAGAAAGGGTTACACAGAGTTATCTGGCTTAGGAGATAACATATTCAAATATGATGGCTTTGTTTCTTACAATAGCGATAATGAAGAATGGGTGACCGAACAACTCATTCCAAATATGGAACATTCTGATGATGACGTCAATGTCAAATTGTGTATTGCGGAGCGTGACTTTACTCCAGGAGAATTCATTGCAGACAACATCGTAAACTCAATAAATGAGAGTAGGAAACTCATGTTTGTTATAACAGAAGAGTTCATCAAAAGTCAATGGTGTGCATTCGAGCTAGAAATGGCGCATTTGAGACAATTCGATGAAAAGAAAAACCTAATCGTGCTCATATTTTTAGATAAAATACCGAAAAAGAAATTACCAAGAAAGATCCGTTTACTCATGCGCCATGTGACCTACGTTGAATGGGACGAAAAAAACAAGCGTACTCAGAGTTTGGTTTGGAAGAAATTGAAACTGAGCTTATTGGACAATCCGATCGATCTGACATATGGAGTTACCCCTTAAACGTAAAATATACGTGCATCGACATAATATAGATTGCCTGGTTGATGTTTCATTAGATCTGATGCCATTCAAATATAAACTTGCTAAAAACATACGGAGTGATTTACATAGATTTATTCCTAACACTGTTCCACAATTGGATGACTCTAACTGCAGTTAGCGTCATTCAAGATGGTTGCCGAAATTCTTTGTTTTCGACAAACCTCCGATTTCAGCTAAACTAAGTTGAATCTGGATTCCAAAGGTTTCGCCATGGAAACTGATAAAGCTACGATTGGAAACAACCACAGATAGATGCTCTAACAACCGCGATATGGGTCAATTTTAAAGAAAACGGCTTCACTTAGAATAACTCTAACTGAAGTTGTCATCATCAACTTCAGTTAGAGTCATTCTAAGTGAAGCCGTTTTCTTTAAATTCCCTATTATTGCGGGTGTTTGGGCTTTCATTTGTATTTTTTTACAATCATAGTTCTACTAGTTTGCATGGCATGGCAGATTCAACTTATTTAAGTTGAAATCAGAGGTTTGTCGAAAAGGAAATAATTTCGGTAACCATCTTGAATGACGCTAACTGCAGTTAGAGTCATCCAGCTGTGGAACAGTACCTAAGACGTGAAATATAATTTCTGTATATGAACTGTACATTTGTGTAATATATTGTAAAGTAACGGTTGAATAGATATAATAATTTTATAGTTACATGTAAGAGTAAATGCCATTATGGATTAAATTTTGACAACATATGTTGGCCATTTTCAATTCAGCATCAATCTGTAAAACTTGAATCTAACCTGTCAACTGGTGTTTGAGTTATCGCCCGGACAGTAAGGCCACGGACGAATGACCTCTCTCTATCGCTCAAGAATTAACTACATTTGGTGAGATAATAAATTGCATACTTTATTTGGTACATCATTTTAGACGTAATACGTTTCCTCCACTAAGGCTATATGTACAGGGTAGTCCAAAAAGTGAACTCCTGGATTTGTACTTCTAATAAGTTTTTCGTTCATTTTGGTTCAGAGTAATTTTGAATATAAACTACCAAGATGGACCAACACTTAACAATCATTTATTCAAATGCTAGAGTAAGGAAGGGAACTGTCCAAAATCATAAAAAATGCCAGAGTGGTAGACCCAAAAGTGCCGGTGTAAAAGGTCTTATCAAATTTTGGTCCTACTCTCCATTGATTTATATGGTGACCTAAATACAACTCTTTCCCTCATTATCTTATACGCAATCAGGGCCAGTAAGGGCCGTTAAGAAAGGGGACCAAAATCCCTGGGGGACCATCATTTCTTTCACACTGAGTCACCTTAGGGGGAGGGGATAACCACAGGATTCAAAGAAGACATATGTCTAACATGTGAATCTGTATTGAGAAGACATATCGTCCTGATTGGTCAAATATCGAAAGACAAACAATGGCGATTTCAAAATTTTCGAAACGCTTCGAATAATATTATGTTAATTTCTGGCGGTGTGGTTAATATATCATAGTCATAGCTTGCATTGTTTTTCTGGATCAAGATAAAGAAAGTTGTGATAAAAATGCTTGCATCAATTAATAAAACATCACAACGACGTGTTTTTTTCGAAATCTAACAGGTGAGAAGTTGCGCAAACGGAAGTGGTACGCAAGAGCCGTAATCATATCTGTTAACTCTATGCTCTGGGACTAACCCTCTTAGGTCACATCATCAAAACATCGATAATGTGCGGACAGCTTAACCGCGGTTAGTTCAACCTAGTCTGGGCCTTATTTCTTATCTGACATATCTTGTGCCAGATTAATAAATGAAAGCCGTGGTATTGGGTTTAACTTGTTGAACTAAACAGCGGTCACCACAAAAGGACCATGGATTCAGCACACCATCCACAAACTAGTCATCTTTGTCGATGTCGTGAACTTCTGCAAAATGTATAAGATTGTCTGATATATGTCCTTATGGTACGAGCTTGTAAGCCCATTAATGCGGGTAACTACTGAAATATAGGTTGCTACAAGCGGTCATGTTCGGGCAACCCTGTACAAGTTTTCAATGAACCTTTTCAAACAGGCTACACGGAAGAACGTTTATGTCAGTATGACCTAATCACATCGTCATTATATATTATTGGCGTGTTTTAGAGTACATTATACAAGGAAGTATATTTCATTAAACCACACTTACGTAGCAACACAACTTTGTTTTACTTTAAGAATAGCCAGCTATAACAAAGAGGAGTGTATTATTATTTTCTTATTAACTGCCTTCCTTAGACATGGATCACTAGATCTTGGAGCTTTCGATTGGTCTATTACCGTTAAGTAATAACATTCTCCCACTGTATGCAAACGAACGTCTATAGCTAGAAACTCGATTTTACAAAGTGCAAACAAAAATCTCGGATATGACAAGTATGTTTAATAGAGATATAGGAGGAGGAAATGACTTTGATATAACATTTGATATAAAGGTTGCGTTCGCTTTATTGATACACCCTAAACCAAATACAGAGTTGCAAACAATGATCTCAATTATATATTCACAAGAACGGATGAGTAATGCCAATGAGTACACCTGAGTCACTACCGCTATCAACATATGCCGCATGATTTAGGACAGATACTCCTATAGTAGTTTCCGTCTTGTGGACGGTCACAATATCCATTGCTTTTGAACCATTGGCAGTTAGAGTACCTATCCTGGCAGTCTAAAATGAAGCAAATACAATTATAAGAGTGATAATTTGTTGTTTGAAAATAGAGATTCATCCGCTGTCACCGAATTGTTGTATTTTCTTGTGTTAGGCCATGTTACATTACACAATTTTCAAGTTGGAATTTTTAGAATTGCTCTCTAATTTCCTTCAAATTCTGGTCGGGGAGTAGGGCGTTGTGTAACCGTCACGGCGAAAATCAAGATCATGGACACATGGGACACATTTGTAATCGGTTATTGTTGAGATGTCTTAGTTGCAACATTGTATACATTAACTTTGGAAAACTTAGTTAAATCTTAGTTAAATCACATTCTGATCCTCATTGCATTTTTTGTTTCACCTAAAACATCATCTCAGGACTGAGAAGAAATGAGATGCCATGCATCGTTTATCATGATGTATAAATCATGTCATATAAATGAGTGCAATGGGATTCCACTTACTTTCAGGTGTAGTTAGTCGACGGGTTGTTGGCCTAATGGTAGGCTTGGGGGTTGTCATACCACCACCTGAAGTAATAAGTCAATTTGATAAACGTTTGTGATTACATGAATACTGCAGTATTGTAGCTTGTAGTAGCGAACAGTAAGCCTAGTGACAACGTTCGTAATACGGATGTAAGTACGAAATCTCAATATTTGCTGCACATTGTATTTTGAGTGCCTTTCGTCATTTCAGTGATCAGAAAAGACTTTTGCGAATTTGGGCGAGAAGGTCAGATAATCAATCAAGATGAAATATCCCTTCCTATAATTTGGACCATAAATAAATGAGACATGACTTTGCTAAAGTGGGGATCCCCACATCAAAAATCAAAGAATTTTCAAGAGGCCATAAATCAGTGAATTAAAGTATAGAGACTTTACAATATACACATTTTCGGGGATATTTATCAAGACAATATTAGAAACTATGGGCTTTCAAACTACCATGGTTTGGAAATGGTGATATAATATCGACTACTCATTTATTCATGGTCCAAACGGTATGTCTGTTCCACCACCATGCATTCCGCTATTATGTCCTCTCCACAAAACAGTTGGACGGGGTGGCGGAGTGTAATGGGTGTGGTGAAGTATAATCAAGGTTTAATTTTTAATACTATACATGGCGTCAAATGTGATGTTATTCATGTATGTTGATTACTTTAAACTTACCACCACCGTTGCATTTGTAAAGCATGTTCACTTTCTGTATGTCCAACTGTGAGAATCCTACTCGTTGTCCTATTCGGGCACCAGAAGTCTTTGGAACGATAGTATGCTCTCCGTTTTTGGAGAACGCAGTGGCTTGATAGTGCATCACGGATCCGTAGTCATAGGTAAGGAGATCGTTCACTTGGCCCGAGGAGTACTTGTTGAAGTTGTGTTCCATTCCTTAATAGTATAATTGAAAACACGTACAATATACACTTACTATAGGTACCAAGAAATTAGAAACATTACAAATATGGTCAAGCCTTGACTGTCCGTTGGGTAATATGCATGGTATTGGTATGAAGAGAACCTCTTTTTTACAGTGATGATCACACGGAAGAGAATTATGAAGAATGCAGCCTGACATTGATCCGGGCATGGGCCATACCTGTTTTGACGTTCTGAAGCATGATAGTCACATAGTTGTCTCTGTCGCTTCTGCTTTGTTCGTGGAAGAAGCCAACAGCGTGCATCATCTCGTGGATAATGATACCCTTGGTCCAACAGCCATGACCCAAGCTCAACGTTTGGACGTGTCGTAGTGTACCAACAACAGAGTAGCACCTATAGAGAAGTATTTACGGAAAATATGATCAAAGGTGATATTGTTGTTTTTGGATTCTGATTAGGATAATATATAACGGTTGTTCAACATTAGGGAGGGTGAGGATTTCGATAATGTTTATTCATGCGTTGGATCAAAAGTTGGGATGACGAGTGTTTCTCTCATATTATTAATCGTGCTTTTTTATTCCGTTCTCTAGCTGTGTCTTCAATCATCTCTTTGGGGATCATTTTGTACATAGGAATATTTGGTCCCTTGTATCATTTACCAGATTAGAGTATCAACTACGTTACTTAAGGGCCCTGCGTTCGAGGAATAAGAGTAAAATTGTATTACCCCGCTCCTTTGACAATGCTCACGTAGGCCATTTGGTTTGTCCTGGGTACCCATCGGATACAGGTGTATTTATTGTAGTCAGCAATAGCTGCATTTAGAGTGGCCCTTTCACTAGCGGCTGAAAGGAGTGTGTCAGTTTTATTATTATATCTTGGTTACCGCCATAGTTGGCGAGCAATACCTCATTGGTATATACCGTATTTTACGTTGTTTACACTCGAAGATAGAGCCAGAAACCCCTCCTTGGAGGAGCCCTGTTTTCTTTTATGTGCACAGGTACACAGACATACAGGTACACACCACAGCCTTTTATACGAGTCGTGAACCACTCAGTCAAACACCCAGAATTACATAACGCACAAACAAACCTGTCTGAACCGGGAATCGAACCCGGGGCCAAGCGATATTGGTAACCTTGACTCTATCTGCCACTGAGCCATAGCGGGTGGACTACTACCCTGCGTGCAGAGTCTAGTTAAACTACAAGACGAAGCTCTCTTTTAAGAAGTGAAGTCAAACGAATGCAAAGGGTAGTGGACTACGTTACAACTGATTGTTTCGCACTGTTGTAATGACAGTGTCTGTTTCTGATTATAAGCCAATAACTAATAAGAATGAAAAATGAAAAACATTAACTTGAAATTGAATCTGAAAATCAGGATGATAGCTTGTTACTAGTTTAGTTATAAAGATGAGAATTGCCAGCAGCTGTTAAAAATGTTCTTACTTGCTGATTTAACGGTATAAGGAATAATGCCATTGGGCCACATCTTTCGAGAGTTCCTAATAGCATTATAGTCCTGGCCATCCTCTAGAAGGATATCACCTTCAAACAGGTCACCTTCTTCTGGGTTGGTTGGCGCACCCTGAACATTAATATTGCATTATGTTATTCTGAATCTATGTACTGAATTATTTGAAGATGAAGTGGACGTACTAAACTGAATTAAATTTCAAATTCGCCATCTGACATTTTTTATTTTTTATTTTTATTTATTTTTATTTTATTTCATGATAATATAACAATGGAATGTACAAAGCATGTGCACTCGACACCCTTAGTAATTGGGCGTATCAGTGCATATATCAAAAATTATTGCAGAGCAATCACAAAACATATAATATATAACAGTATAACATACATTATCTAAATTGTTTAGATGCAATACGGAAACTTTGAAGTCTGGATATAAATAATTAATTTAAATGGAATGTGATAAGGAAAGAAAATTATTGTGTTTTCGGCTAATATTTTCATTCATATGGCATCTAAATAGTCAATAAATATAGAATATTAGGCGATTGTTTGAATAAACTACCAACCTGTGCAAGAGCTAGGGCAAGCCCTAGACATAATATATATTTCATCCTTTCTTGTCCTTCAGTCAACCACGTGAAATAATAGTTATATTAGTCTACAATGCTATCAATTATCTACAATATGCGTAACCTTGATATTGATCATGACAGTAGGGTTAACGGGGGTTAACTCGTAACTTAACTCGACCACAAATTATAGATGAAACCAACATTAAGTGTCCGAGTGATATCAGCGTGACATCGGGGTAGATAAAAGAGAGGTCGTTATGCGAAAAGTACACGGGCTACATGTATTTGTGATTATATGTCGACCTTGTAAGTTTGAGTCAATCTATATCCAAGCAACAACCTCGACTTACTTTTCCCCTACATTAATCATTGCATTACATGATCTGTCATTTAAAGATACCATTTTACAATAAAACTTGATTTCATCAAGCAGACTGTATCACGTGGTCAAAAACGCATCTTTTGGTTACCAACGTTTAAATTGAAGGGACGCCCTAACTTAAACCTGTATACATATAAGTACAAATACAATGCAAACTTTTGCCTGAACCTGAGGTCAAACAGGAAAGAATCCAACAAGTTGAATCAGATGTAGATGCTCTACCATGGGCAGACTTTTCCATGTGAACATTCCCATCAATACTTGCAATTTGTAAGTTAGTGAGCTTCTGACTTGACAAAGGAGAAAATACTTAGTATAATTTCATATCGGTTCTTGCGTACTTTCACGGCCATCCCAATATGTTATCTATTTCTGAAACAATGCAATCATATCTTGCATAAATATATAATTTCGTCACATTAACGTTATCTAGATGCTTACTGATATCACAGATATTTAACAGATAAGGACAGAGGTATAGTTAGAACTGACTAATGTTTCTGTCATTTTGACACACCGGCTACAACTAGAAGACATTGATGATGAAACATTTATTGTGCCTAGGGCTTGCCCTAGTGCTCGCACAGGTTGGTTATTTCCAAAAAATTCTCTTTAACATCAAACAATTATAACCATTGACTGCTCTACAGGGTGTCCCCGAAGTAATGATAATTATGCTCTAACGTTTTAAATTGATAAGGAAACAATATGAAATTCATTCAAATTAAAGATCATGATATAGGCCTAGGCTTCGTTAATATGCCGTGTATTCAATGTTCACGGGCGTAGCCTGTCATGAGGCTACAAAAATATATTTATTCATACGTTTCTCTTTCAACTAAAACTGTAGAAGTTCAAATGTAGTAATACAAGTATACCTCATTTAGTCTCACTACTTTGCCTCACCTATTTACATTTGCCTCGCCAACGCCACTGCTATCATTAAAGGGACAAGAGAAAGGCGTAGATTCTGAGGTTATTTTGCAATAATTGCTTATATTTTAGCTCTGTGCGTTTCGACATTATAAATCGCCAAATGCTTCCATATTTGATCAGACATTCCACTTTTGTAACTATAATTATATTAAAAATATTGGTATTTACATCCTCTATTCTTAACACAATCTTTATTACATCTAGGGTGCGCCAACCAACCCAGAAGAGGGTGACATGTTTGAGGGTGATATCCTTCTAGAGGATGATCAAGACATCTACAATGCTATTAGGAACTCTGCACAGATGTGGCCTAATGGTGTTGTTCCTTACACAGTGTCAGTATCAATGAGTAAGTGCATTTACATTGAATTCTCAAGTGTATCCAAACGTATCGACCTTTTCAGATGTTTCGGGAGTATTCCCACTATCGCCAATGACAATTAAATGAATGAATTCCCGGGGTACATGTATTTGTCCTGCAATTCTGCCTGTAGTAACATGGCATCCACACACCATTTTCGTCTTTTTCGATCTTAACAAGATCTTGAATAGCAAATGATTTAAAGAAAACGAGTAACAGAAATCAGACAATGAGCAATACCAGCATGTTACATTGTCTTACTATGTAAAACACGTGTCATTTTATTACAAAGCTTCTACTGAGCAGGCCAATCTAAATGCGGCCATTGCCGACTACAGCAGACACACATGCATCAAATGGGTGCCAAGGACAAACCAGCAGGCCTACGTGAACATTATCAAGGGAGGAGGGTAATTATTATTCACTGCATTGTCTCTCATTCTTTAAGAAAGGAAAAGGGATGCTAAAAGCGAAGCGAAGTGAAGAAGAGAGGACAAACAAAATGTGATCATCTGTGACTGACAATCATCAAACTGATTGGTCAAATGTGACCACGTGACTTAAAGAAACAAAATGGCGATTCGAAATTAAAGATAAGAAAAGATGTAAGGAAAATGATCATGCCAAGTAGAATATCACATCGATGTGTAAAAATGATAGATGGTGGAAAACGAAAAAAGGCTAATCTTCTTGTCCATGGCCGTGCGCATATCCATAATTGTATGTGTTTAGAATGACATGGCCAACTGGTCAACAGAAGAGGGTGGGGTAGAGGATGATATAACGGAGCAAACATGTGTTATATATCCTAAATCGTTATGACCTGCAAATATATTACCTACTAACTTTAAGGGGAGGCATCAAAAGACCAATGTCTGATCTAGTTTGGGGGAGGGGGTCAAAGCTATTTCAGTTAACAGGATCTTAAGAGGTTCTGGACAAATCATTTGATTCTGGACTTGACATATTTTTTTTCCAACGAAATCACATCCAAGGGTTGAATTTTTATTGGATATTTAGAGAGCGAGTCCTGTATTGATTTCAATAAAAAGGTTAAAATAGAACGCTATTTGAGAGTTAATCTTATACTTTCATTACATTGATAAATTAAGGCAAATTCTGAAAAATTTTAAAGTGCATTTTTTATGAAATATTATCCAAGTATTTAGATGAAACGGTCTTATTTAAATACAAATCATAACATGATGATATTTTTTCATAAAATATTTCTTCAAGAAATTCAATTGAAGGCTCAAGATAAAACGAGCTAATTTAGGTGAAAACCCTTACATGATGATGTGTTTTCATGACTTCTTTCATAAAATTCCATCAAGGGGTGAAAATAAAATGATCGAATTTAAGTGATTTAAGGATCACGAGGATAGGTTTTCTTTTATATTTTCTATGAAATCCCATCCAGTGGTCAAGGTAAAATTTTTATTTGGTATATTTGGTCACGTGTTCGAACACATAGAACCATATAGGAACGTCATTTTGAATGTTACGTGATAAATCCATATAAGGCTTTTAGAACAATGTGGGGAAAGATGAGGGGAAACCCCTGACACCTGTTCACAATTTTATCCGAACGTTCATCGGATCATTTCGGTTTTTATGCACTTCATTATTTTACCGAAGTTTGCCGATTCGATTCGTCGTATTTCGGAATATTGGGGACAATTTTATACTCCATTGGGAGTATTTTTAATCTACTTCTTATTACGAAGATTCCCGAACCTTGTTCGGATTAATCCGGATTTTCTGACCTACTTCATCTACCGAGATTTAACGAGTTTACATTCGGCTCATTTCGGAATCCTGGTGACAATTTTATACTCCATTGGAGTATTTTTGATCTACTTCTTATGACGAAGATTTCCGAACCTTGTTCGGATTAATCCGGATTTTCTGACCTACTTCATCTACCGAGATTTAACGAGTTTACATTCGTCTCATTTCGGAATCCTGGTGACAATTTTATACTCCATTGGAGTATTTTTGATCTACTTTTTCTGGATTTTGCCCTACTTATTATATCTTTACAACAAGCAAATCAAAAAATTCGCCATGAACGGGTCTCGATCGACTAACCTAGAGCATGGAAGCTAGGCACGTTAGCCATGAAAGGATAAAAGTATTATATATTTATACCGAGCGTCAATTCAAAATGATCTTCACTTTTGACTGCACGTAAATACAACTCGTCAGTTGTATCCAGAATAGATGAACGCCTATGGTACTAGTGAATAACCAAGTCCCAGGCGAGTGGTTCGCACCCCACCGTGATATGTTATTTTTGCTTTTTTAATACGACAGAAAGGAGCAAGGTCACTGGCATGTAGCGGTCCTGATATCGATACATTCTACACGCAATAAAACCAGATACCTGCGTGTGATTAAAACTACATGTTAGAGCGTCGATATCCTACAAATCCTATTTTTTCATAACAATATTTTTTCATGAAATCCAATCGAAGGGTGAAGATAAAACGATCTTTTAGGTAAAACAGCTTTACATGATCTGGTGATGTGTTTTCATAACTTTTTTCATAAAAGACCATTCTCGGTTTGGAGAACAAAGTTCGTCACTCTAATTGAGCGTTATCCCTGCTTCGGACAAATTTGATTTTTTTTTTACATAATATAGATTTGAATGTCTTCTTTTGAATAGTCATAGTTTAATTTGGGTAATATTTCTAGATTTTTCATATAAAAATTACTTGTGAAACACCCAACGTCGCTTTTATGATTCGTACCACTTTTTTAACTTGGTGTATTGCATATTTCCGTGGGTTGATTTGAAAAAAAGACAAACAACGTATACATGAATATGTCATAAGCATATAGTGAGATAATTGTTAGATTAGGTTTGCTATAAGTGACTTTAAAACAAAAAAATAAAAAACATTAGTTCACGTGTTAAAGTCCCATTGACCACGACATCAAGGAAAATTGAGCTTTTTGTCATCAGACATCTTTATATATGGAACTAGCTATGTACTACATTTTTAAATACACTCACATTGTACATGTAGCTGTAATATCTAAGATGTTATTTTTATTGATGAAAAGATTCTTACATACTAAAGTTACATTAAAATATCAATTGCAATAGCCACCTGTTTTTAACATCCCTTTGTCACTCATCCCTTAATTATCTCTGTGTATCTTAAACGTGTGTGTGTTCGATGTTGATAGCACCCGAGTGCAACCTAAGGAGCACATACAATACATTTTGTGTATGCCCAGTCTGGCCGCCTTATATCTGCCTGCACCGAGAAATGGGCGCAGCTTTGACAATTAACGAATGATATAACGATATCACGGATTTCACCGAATGTTATTCATCCCTAAATAGCTTTTTTATTTAGTCTTATGATCCGACTGATGTTTCAATTTTTTGCAGTGACTCTGAAATTGCTGCCCCAGATATGACATCACAGCGACTCATTTTCCTACATTTAAATCACTAAACTAAATCAATTGAAACATAATCATTAAAGAATGAGGACCTTGTATTTTACTTTGGACGAGGGTAGTGGCCATGTCTTGGCATGGCTAGTTGTGCATTAACGTTTGATACTGTTGTGCGGATAAAAATAATGAATATATGTTAAAGTAGCACTAAACAGATACTTTTAAAGTTAAAAGAATATAGTTACATTTAAAGAATGGGCCCAACGAATAGATATTGAATATAGGACTCGTTTGATGAAACGTTCGTTCTTTTAATTCTAATAAACCTAGAAATCAATCAACGATTAAGTAAATTGACAAGACTTCATGTTCAAGTTGGCTGAATTTCGTGTAACTTAACTCTGTTATGTTTCTAGATTTTACATATGGAGAACAGAATTCGAAATCATAATCACAATCGTATTTTAAGGCAAATAGGCCATGAATATGCTTTTAGTTACACGGTGGATGATCAAATTAACACATTTTGGATGTTGAATTTCATTTCAAGTTCATTCGAATTTACGCATTATCGTGGGAAAGCCCATGGCATTATCCAATAAAATTGATATATATACTGTCTAGGCTGAGACTAACATATATAATGTTATTTAATGTATTTAATATACAGGATATATCTGAGAAAGTTATGCAATTTATCTACACGAGAAATAGTAGGGACCGAGGGTTGATATACGAGTATTACCTTTACCTGTCGAAAATCGAGTATAAACTATGAGGATTAGATACGCATTGAATGTAATGGAACCGTCATGTAATAATTAGAAATGATAATCACAATCAAATCATGAATATTTTATCTAGATTTAAAGCGCTTAAGATTTATTTTTAAAACTCAACCGAACTATTAACATTTAAAAGCACCGAACGAATTTTCTGGGGATTGCTGATGAGCGGGTGGGATGGGATGGGAGGGATAAAATGAAATACTAGATAAAATATTGATACCTTTACGCATGTCAATCTCAAATTAGAATGCATATATCATTATCTCTTTTATTCTTCTGTATTGTAATACGATAGTCTGATTATTGTCAATATCCTATACATGAAATAATGTACAACGTGTATTCTACATTGAATAACAAACGAAATAAAACTCATCTTTGTACGAATTTATTTTTCATATGACACAAAGTATCATAACATTGTTATATGTTGCATTTACGACTACTACAGCAAATCAGAAAATTCGTACAATATCAAACGTAAGAGTTGTTCACAAATACATTGGTATTTTGATATGAGTATCATGTAGTATTAAAATATTAAAATCATATGATCAGCAAGTTTATAAGCTTAATATTGTATTGTTTTTTATTTAAGTGTCGCATGCTTAATTTCATACATATACATCTGTACAATCATCCAAAAAGCCTCGAGCCACCAATGGCTAATGAGACACTGCTAATCAAAATAAATCATATAATATTATATAATAAGATGCATAATATGAGTCAGTTGCAGAAATAGGATTATGAATAAAGCAAAGTTCATGACCTCTATTACGAACATTGTTTGATGAACTCGATCACTCAGTCAGTTGTTGAACATATGCAAATGTGGTCAGGTTATAAATATAAGTACAATTTAAGTCCATGATATTTTCACATATTGAACATAACACTCAGTTCACAAAGAGATGTATACAAATCTAATCCACAAGTAGAAATGATTGTTTCATGCTGTTTATGCATTGTGTATAAACTGTAATCCAAAACATGAATAAAGTGGGCAAGAGGTGGTTGTATGATGGCCCATAAAATCACATTATGTAACACCGGCACCCTGGTTCAATATAGTGCAGTGGCCCATGTTTGATATACGTACATCAAAACTCATGTTTTTTCAAGGAAAGAAGCTAGATTAGTGATATATTGAAAAATCAAACTACTATACCCCAATACTGTAACCCGTATTTCTTTAAAAGGAATACAGGCTACAGTGAAGTTGCAAATGGAGGACCTTTGTTTATTTCCATAGTTCTGGAGGAATACTAGATTTTACATTGTATAGATTCATCGAGCAGTTTGCAACGCACTATCACCAGAAAAGTCCTATGGAAAAGGACAAAGAATACCCGCTCTATTTGCAACTTAACTGTACCCTGTATTCTTTTTAAATGTGTTCACGTGGTAGGGTAGTGTGATACTCCCTCTGCCTATGCCTACATCGTTCAATCTTTTTTTCATAGTATAACGCCTTATTAATACAACAGTTATTGAGCTGTTAATTAAGAAAACATACTAACAAACAAACCACCGAGTTTAGAGTAAGACATATACATGTATTGTTCTATTATCAAATCATATATTGTGTCCCAATTCTAAAACGTTAACAGTTTATGGTGTACAATAAAACTATTACTATTAACCACTTTAATATATTGTTACCCTGTGGATCCCAGGGTTTTGATATGTTCTACAAAGTCATGCAAAGACAGACCATATATGCACTAAAAATATCTGTGACACTTGTATGATATGTATTCCACTTTGAACCACCATATATTTCAATATTGTGAAAATATATATTTCCCAAATTATGAAATAAAGGAGCTTGTATTCGCGAATGCCGCTAACGCCTGTCGGCTATCGGATAAACCTACTTTACTATTTTATGGGCAATTCATTAAAATATCAATGGAATATTGTCAGGTTCTTTTCATATTTAAATGAGTCGCCCATAGAATGGTAGGTTAATCCGGAAGCTGAAATCTTCCATTCCCAAATCATAGTCTTAGCTTGTATTCGCAAATGCAACTAACGCCTGTCGGCTACCGGATTAACCTATTATTTTACTGGAAACTCATGTCAATACGAATAGTACCTGCCACTATTCCATTCATATTTAAATGACTTGGTCATATTATACTGGGTTAATCAGGTAGCCGGAAGGCGTTAGTTGCATTCGCGAATATAAGGTTAGCTTGTATTCAATAATGCAAGAAACGCCTGTCGGCTACCGGATTAAACTACCTCTGAAGACATCGGGATTTTAAAGCGGCGTGCAAAGCGTAATCGGGTACACCCCAGTTCTCCGAAACCCAGTTGTCCGAAACCCATTACTCCGAAAAATAAAGTCATAATTTACCAGAGAAAGCGGGGGGCGTAGCTTACTTAAACTTACGTCAGTTTCATGCCATGTATTTGGCCAAATTAATGGCATGGACGCATTCTGTTATTCATAGATCTCTCTCTCACTTTGAATTGCATCCACTGCATGGCGTTACCAGAATGGCAGGAACGGGAGATTTATTTTACATTGTGATTCTAAAAAAAGGTTATTAAAACACAATATATATTACGGAACAGTTTATCTTATCTTCTTCAATCTCTTTTATATAGGCAAAATAAAATGAAACATTTTGAAACAGATAAAATAATTTATCGCATAGAACTTTAAGAATAAAACAGTATACAAATTACGTTGTCAAAATATTTCGTCGCATTTAATTTCTTAGTCTCGGTCTCTTATCAAATCGTAAAAAAATAAAACATTCTATACTTAATCACTTGGGATTTATGTTTCGGCATTCGTTTCAGGCATTTGTTTTTTATGTTCTTCTCCTGAAATGTATTTGTTTGACAATAATCAGAGAAAGTGCGTATACGTATAAATATGCCACGCAAACAAACGGGTGTGACTTCAATTTCTTGTCTGTCTGAGGACGTATTGGGAACGAGGTAGAATTAAAGAATTCTTATGAACGAGTCATGCAAGATACTAGAACTAGTAAAGTAATGTAAATGGATAAGTTAATTTCTGATGGATCTGGATATAATATATTTCAAAACTTTGTAAACACTAGATAACTTCATTTAGGCAGATATAGTATCTTGATATATTTGGCTATCATGCGTTTAAAATACGTTCCTAAAACTATGAAGACGTTAGGTGAGAAATATTGCTATTGTACGTTCGAAAAGTATTTGGTTGTATTTTGTAGTTCTCAAGTTACCCATGAACTTTCGTGGGCTAATTAGCGTCTTGACTTAGCATATTTAGCCTAATTTTGCAATGATGTCAACGTGATTCAAATGTTATGCTGTCGTGATTCGCAGAGGTTGCGACAAGATTCGTTTTACAACAGATGTAACTATGAGAACATGAAAGCTCATAATCCTGATTATGCAACCTTATACAATCGTTATCTTTGGGACAATAGCCCAAAAACAAGGTACTCGTGAACGAGAGTTGAATTTGCTCCGTGAACGATAGGATACGCTGTTCCCCACCAACAAAATACAGACATATGCTTCAGTGTCCTCAACGCAGATTGTAGAGAACAAGAGAAAAAATGAAATATACTTTGCCATAACAGAATACTGTTAAAGTATTGTTTATTAAGTTTATTAAGTTTCACAAATAACTTTTAAATGCCTTCTTTACCGTCAACGGACACTCAAATAAATACACAATACAATGCAATGCAATGTAATACAACGCATTACAATACAAACTAAATTAGAGTATTTGTGCATAGCATTTTCCCCTTTTGTTTGAAGGATATTTTAAGAATAATTTCAGCGTTCGTACACACCAGGAAATGTCAGGGTTTTGATTTAATTTTCCAAGTGCCTGAAATGTCAGAGAATTTTAAAATAAGGTCAAAAAGGGCCAAAGAGTCCGGGAATTTTGAAACTGTAGACATGTCATGGAAATGTCAGGGAAATTTGTATCAGTGTTGAAAAAATGATGTTCCAGAAAAATAAATTTTAGGACTATGACAGGATCTCAATGAAATCCAAAATGTAACATTTAGTTGATTCCACACGGGGCGTGTACATTGTCTAACATATATCTAAAAGGTTTACACTGTCTTGATTAATGAACTTCTTAGATCTAGTCGCGCTTCAGAAGTGGAAATCCTTCAATTATCAGAGGTTAATGTTTCTAAAACTGTATTGAAATAAACGTACGTCTTGTTTTCAAACCTACACCTTGCTCCTTTCTGTCATATTAATAAAGCAAAAATAACATATCACGGTGGGATACGAACCACTCGCCTGGGATTTGGTTATTCACTAACACCATAGGCGTTCACCTATTCTGGATACAACTGACGAGTTGTATCTAAGTGGAGTCAAAAGCGAAGATCATTCTAAATTGACGCTCGGTATAAATATATGATACTTTTATCATCTCACACAGGTGAACGTTAGCCTCATGGCTAGCGTGTTTAGCTTCCACTCTCTAGGTTAGTCGATCGAAACCCGTTCATGGCGAACTTTTTGATTTGCTTGCTGTCAACTTATAATAAGTAGGGCAAAATCCAGAAAAAGTAGATCAAAAATACTCCAATGGAGTATAAAATTGTCACCAGGATTCCGAAATGAGACGAATGTTAACTCGTTAAATCTCGGTAGATAAAGTAGGTCAGAAAATCCGGATTAATCCGAACTGATTCGGGAATCTTCGTCATAAGAAGTAGATCAAAAATCCAGAGAAGTAGATCAAAAATACTCCAATGGAGTATAAAATTGTCACCAGGATTCCGAAATGAGCCGAATGTAAACTCGTTAAATCTCGGTAGATGAAGTAGGTCAGAAAATCCGGATTAATCCGAACAAGGTTCGGGAATCTTCGTAATAAGAAGTAGATTAAAAATACTCCCAATGGAGTATAAAATTGTCCCCAATATTCCGAAATACGACGAATCGAATCGGCAAACTTCGGTAAAATAATGAAGTGCATAAAAACCGAAATGATCCGATGAACGTTCGGATAAAATCGTGAACAGGTGTCAGGGGTTTCCCCTCATCTTTCCCCACATTGTTCTAAAAGCCTTATATGGATTTATCACGTAACATTCAAAATGACGTTCCTATATGGTTCTATGGGTTCGAACACGTGACCAAATATACCAAATAAAAATTTTACCTTGACCACTGGATGGGATTTCATAGAAAATATCCAAGAAAACCTATCCTCGTGATCCTTAAATCACTTAAATTCGATCATTTTATTTTCACCCCTTGATGGAATTTTATGAAAGAAGTCATGAAAACACATCATCATGTAAGGGTTTTCACCTAAATTAGCTCGTTTTATCTTGAGCCTTCAATTGAATTTCTTGAAGAAATATTTTATGAAAAAATATCATCATGTTATGATTTGTATTTAAATAAGACCGTTTCATCTAAATACTTGGATAATATTTCATAAAAAATGCACTTTAAAATTTTTCAGAATTTGCCTTAATTTATCAATGTAATGAAAGTATAAGATTAACTCTCAAATAGCGTTCTATTTTAACCTTTTTATTGAAATCAATACAGGACTCGCTCTCTAAATATCCAATAAAAATTCAACCCTTGGATGTGATTTCGTTGGAAAAAAAATATGTCAAGTCCAGAATCAAATGATTTGTCCAGAACCTCTTAAGATCCTGTTAGTTTGCTATCCGACAAATTTCAACATTTAAATTTTTGCTATTTCGACTCGATATGCCTTGGAATGGTTAAAAAATAAAGACTTTACCAGATGCCTTCTTCACCAAGATGCATGCAACGTGGAATATTATTCCTATTGTTGTTGGGACATGTTTTAAGAATCATAAATAAGTTATAGCACTGCCCCCATGAAAGTCCAAATTGAGTCGCTAAAACATGTGAAAAGTCTGCGATCAACTTTCATTTTATTTAGTTTTGAGGGGGAAGGGGGGGGGGGTCCAACTCAAACTAGATTTATTTTGTTTCCTATCAGATATTGAACTTTTGATGCCTCTCATAAGTAAACGATTATACTCCTTGGTCGATATGAACGATATCTGTGTCATATGAATGTTACAAATTCAAATTAGGTGCTACTCTAACGTTGGCACACTGAGACGTGTACAGACATTGAGTTTGGGACGTGGCTGTTGGTCAAAGGGTATCATTATCCACGAGATGATGCACGCTGTTGGATTCTTCCACGAACAAAGCAGAAGCGACAGAGATAACTATGTGACAATCATGCTGCAGAACGTCCGACCAGGTACGAATTTCTCAGAAGAAAAATAGCAAATAAAAGAACACATGTAGAACGTATTAAAAACCTCAGTTAAAACAGAATTCGAGATAGAGATGTCAATGTGTCTTCAGCCAAATATATTATTGAATATTCAATGTATATGGATTTGATCTGTATGTAAATTATGTATAATGTTTTGTGTAAGAAAGATGCAATAAAAAATTTAAAAAAGTCTTCAGCCAAATATAATCGTACTCCAATGTTTGATTTAGTTTGAAGATATCAAACAATAATGGCCAGCCTCCTTGTATGTACATAGCATATTAAGATGTATATTTCCTTACTTTGTCAGGAATGGAACACAACTTTAACAAGTACCCCTCCAGCCAAGTGAATGATCTCCTTACCTACGACTACGGATCCGTGATGCACTACCAAGCTGGGGCGTTTTCCAAAAATGGACAACCAACAATCGTCGCCAAAACCCCTGGGACCAGACTTGGTCAGAGGGCTGGATTCTCACAGTTGGACATTCGTAAAATAAATATGCTTTACAAGTGCAGCGGCGGCGGTGGTGGTAAGCTTTGAGTTATGAACAAGGAACATATTTTATCTTAAGTCGCTCAGAATAACGGTTCGAAAGCATACTTCTTTTCTGTTAACTAACTACATGTGCCCACCACAGAAGCTTTAATAATGAACTATTCGGCATCATACTTCACTGTAACTTGTATATCTTCAGGAGGCGGTGTAACCCCAAGACCAACCCCTAGGCCAACCATCAGGCCAACAACCCGCAGATTCACTACGCCAAGAGTCACCCCTGGTGGAAGTAAGTAAAACGAGATTTTTAACGGGAGATTTTGAAAAAACGGGGGTTTTTACTGGAGATTATTTTAAAAAGGTATTTTTCGCAGTAAATTTAAAAAAACGTGACTTTTTTACGGAAGATTTCAGAAAAAACGGGAGTTTTTGTGGTAGGTTCTGAAAAAAAGGGAGTTTTTACAGAAGGTTTTGAAAAAACGGGAGTTTTTGCGGTAGATTTAAAAAAAAACGGGAATTTTTACGGTAGATTTCTGAAAAAACGGGAGTTTTTACGATAGATATCTGAAAAAAACGGGAGTTTTTACGGTAGATTCTGAAAAAACGGGAGTTTTTACGGAAGATTCTGAAAAAACGGGAGTTTTTATGGTAGATTTCGGAAAAACGGGAGTTTTTTACGGTAGATTTCGGAAAAACGGGAGTTTTTACGGTAGATTTCTAAAAAAAAACTGGAGTATTTACGGTAGATTTTGAAAAACGGGAGTTTTTACGGTAGATTTCTGAAAAAAACGGGAGTTTTTACTTTAGATTTTGAAAAAACTGAAATTTTTACGGTAGATTTTGAAAGAACGGCAGTTTTTACGGTAGATTTCGGAAAAAACGTGAGTTTTTACGGTAGATTAAGGAAAACGGGAGTTCTTACGGTAGGTTTCTGACAAAACGGGTGTTTTTACGGTAGATTTTGAAAAAACGAGAGTTTTTACGGTAGATTAATGAAAAAACGGGAGTTTTTACTTTAGATTTTGAAAAAACTGGAGTTTTTACGGTATGCTAAGGGCAATCTGCCTGAGGTTCCATTTTTAGGTTCGGTTTTTCGTGCATGAGCATTAAATCCAGCTATTTAATTGGTTGAAATTATTATGACGCATGCGCAGTTAATAAATTAATTAGAACTTATAATCTAAGATAGATGTCACTTACGTTCATTATTTCACAGCAGTCCCTACCCATAATGCGCCTTATATTGCGGGAATATTTTGTTTAGCGCGATATAAAAACAAAATGTATTCTCCCGACAGAAGTATGACAGAATACGAACTGGCCCCTGTTTGTGAACATTTGGTGTGCAAACTTATACCGAACTGATCGCAGAAAAGCAATTTGAATCATGGGAATGAAGTCCTTTTAAGTTATTTATGAAAGTATCGATAGTGAACCATGGGAGCCAATCCTTTTTGGAGTAAAAGAAAGAAGCGTGCCTGCAATAATCAAGGTCACAAATTTGTCAAATTTCTTTTAAATACGGTAGATTTCGACAGCAAAAAAACGGAGATTTTACGGAAGTTAAACCAAGAATACGGGAGATTTTACGGGAGTTATACCAGAAAACGGGAGATTTAACGTGAGTTATACCAAGAATACGGGAGATTTTACGGGAGTTATACCAGAATACGGGAGATTTTACGGGAGATTTCAGCAAAAATACGGGAGATTTTACGGCCATATTTTTTAAAAAAATTACGGGAGATTTTAGTAGAAATACGGTACGGGAGTTTTTACGGGAGAAAACGGTACGGGAGTTTGGTATTTTTTACGGAAAAACAAAAAAATTACGGGAGATTCCCGTAAAAAAACGGGAGGTTGACAAGTCTGATCTTAGAAGTACCAATACTTCAGTGTAACCAGACAATAAAAATCTGTATTTCAGGTTGCACTGACAGATCCGTGAACTGCAATTACTACAGAAGTATAGGACGCTGTAATATTGCTTATTACAAAAGCCTTTGCCCGCGATCTTGCTCCAACTGTGGTGGTGTCGTTACACAACGCCCCACTCCAAGACCAACTACTCCCCGACCAACAGGTAGGCTCCTTGATGTTAAGTTGTATTGTGAAATTATTTCATGAAATTATTCCACTACATACAGTGGATCGTCATTGCATATGATTTTAAAAAGCATGTTAAACGTGTTGAATATGAAATCTATTTTTATTGTAGATAGTATATTTAGTATTTACTTCATATTTAGGCTGCCAAGATAAATATACCAACTGTGGGTGGTTCAAAAGTAACGGATACTGTGACCGTCCAAACAACCGAGACTACTACCGAGGTATCTGCCCTAAATCATGCGGCGTATGCGGTGTTACGACGCCCCGTCCTACCCCACCTCCCGTCAACTGCAAAGACAAGTTCTCCAACTGCCCATCCTTCAAATCAATGGGATATTGCGACCGAGTTCAAAATAAAGATTATTTTAGAAGCATCTGCCCCTTGTCCTGTGGAGTGTGTGGAGGAGTCACCCCTCGCCCAACAGTACGACCAACTACTGGCCGTGAGTACAACTTATTCTCACTTATTCGGAGTACCTTATTGGACTAATTACATAAATCTCCTCCAAATTGATTTGAAGGAAATCCCGTCCATCACTTATTTGGATCAATTCTATCTTTCATTATCTTTAATGATTGATAGGAAGGTAATCACCTTTCCTATGTTATGTTTGATAATCTCGCCCACAATCCATTTATATTTTTTCCGATGCCTACGAACATCTGGCTAGTTCTTGAGTGATGGGATTTAAGTGGTTTTGGATACTCTTGGTTGAATTAAATCAAGATTTGTCCATTATTTAAATTCACAGCCAGGAATAGCCAGTGTGGAGTATCCAAGCTAGGCCATGATAGCTTCATTGTCGGAGGACAGGAGGCCCGCGTTGGAAGATGGCCCTGGATGGCTGATCTACTCTCGAATGGAAGACACATTTGTGGAGGTTCCATCCTGAACGCTAACTGGATCCTGACTGCAGCTCATTGTGTCAGAGGGTAAGCCGTTATGCCATATCTAGCAAAAATTAACTTAACTCAAAATACCATCAATCTGCGCCAACTGATTAATGTTCACGGTCTCTCCTTTAACACGACACACTGCATTTGTGATCGTGTGATCTTTCGCTGTATTTAGGAAGACTGCTAGCAGTCTACAGATCAGAGTAGGAGAACACGACCAGAGGAAGAAGACTGTTAACGGTGTCACTCACTCTGTTTTAAGAGTAATTGGTGTAAGTTGAGCTTACATTTTTTTTATTAGAGATGTAACACACTGTCAGTCAGAATCCATTATACGAGGGTTGATCATAAAGTTCTCATAATATCCCGCTAATTTCTATATTTTTCAATATATTCTGATGAAATTTTCACAGAATGTGCAGCATAGAATGTCTTATTAAATCAGATAAAAATATTTAGTTAAACAGAAATATTAAATAAGAAATGGTTTCCATAGTAACGGGAAGTCAAGGCACCCGGGGCAAATAAAAGTAATTGAGAGAATGGCTCTATTTAACCATTTTAACACACATAATAAACGCTCATAAATTGCCAAACACGTTAAAATGTTAACTTGAATATGTTGTTAAGTGCTTTTACTATTAAAAAATTGATCATGTGGATTGTGTGATGTCATAGGGGATGCTTTCATGCTTCAATAGATGTGATACCAGAGTCAGAGACTCAAAGCTAATGATCAGAAATGACTGTGTAAGAGAAAGCAATAGATGCAGAGATCTTCAGAAAAATAAAATTCATATTGATAATATGTTATGTTAAGTTTGTAAGGTCCTTTGGTCAGACTAAACATGATCTAAAACAAATATTTTGCTAAGGTATCAACAAAATTACACCATGTGTGTGGTCTGTACATGTTAAAAATGAACTAAAGGGGCGAAATCAATTTTCCTCGGGATATTTGACAAAACAGTCATGGGGTCTAACAGTCACTTCTAATGAAGCATAACAATCATCCATTATGAGATCACGCAATCCACATGACCATTATAATAGTTGACAACAGACAAGATCACATATTATTTGACAATTTAATGTGTTTGACAGCTTATTTGACAACTTATTATGTATTTGAACATGGTTGATAGGGGCTATTCTAGCTATTTTTTTTTAATTTGCCCCGGGTGCCTTGATTTCAAGTTACTATGGCAACCATTTCTTATTTAATGTTTCTGTTATCCTAAATATTATTTGCTGGATTAATAAAACATTCCATGCTACACATTCTGTGAAAATTTCATAGAAAAATATTGAAAAGTAAAGAAATTAGAGAGATATTATGAGAACTTTATGATCAACCCTCGTATGATAAGCTCGTACTTATAATAACTCTTTCATTATTTCAAGTACAAAGCTTGTGTTCCCACAAAATACGATTAGGACGAAACTGTCAGTCAAAAGAGCATTGCAAAAATACTTGAAATTGATCGAAATACAAGAAATTGATCGAAACACAGAATGTTAAACCAATAATCATATGTTTGGCCTTTCAACATTACAAAGAAACGTTAAACTCTAAACCACGAACACTACTATTTAATAACTGTAGTATTCGAGTCATGTAACTTACTCCAAAGTGTCATTTGACAAATTTCTACTCTGAAAATAAAATCGGTTTTGTTGCAAAAACAGACTTTAAATACCCGATATCATTTTATATAGAATGAACTTTTGGAAGTGTTAGTGGTTTACCATCGTAAAGTTTGGCCTTCTAGACAAGGTGCATTTTCATCTAGAGGAAATGTGGTAGGCGTTTAGTGTTAAAAGTGTTCTGACAAGTGTTTCTTATGTAATTTTTATGCTGAATCCAAAAAACCATGTTGGCAAGCTGAAATATGATTATTTAACCCTTAAAATACCATGTTAGTCCCCCTACCCCCAAAATTCACCCCTATGAGGGGGAAAAATTCGTCAACCTAAAATAACTTTGATTTTATGGTTTTTGTAAGTGAAATACATGGACATTGTATAAAATAAACATTTAAAGTATGAATGATACGGATTACACTAAAGAAATTTGAATAAAAGCAAAAAGTATGTACCCCAGGGGGCAAATTTATGACCCATTTTTTACTTTTCGTGTCATAACTTTTTTATAAGACAATGATGGATGCTAAAAAAATCCATGTTAAAGGCTTAATACCCGGTCTACTAATCCTGCAAGAATCAAAGTAATTCCTTTGATAATTGCCTTGAAAAAAATAAGTGAATTTAAGAAAAATGACATTTTAGCTGGGACTGATTTTATGTGTGACTATAACTGATCCCTATTGCTTTAACATTTGTCCCTCTGTGTTCATATATTTGGCATTTTAGAATAAATCTAAAATATAAAACTTATTTTAGCTAAGTTTTAGGAAGATTTAAGCTTTCTAGCATGTTCAAATATTAAAAATTCATGAAATATGATGTCTAAAATCTAAAGTTATAGGTATACCCTTGGAAGACCCCTATAATTTCTTATCTATGAACATATTTATACCAATATTAGTTTTCTAGCTTAGACAAATAATGTATGATATATCCTGGCTTGGCTTTCTGGTAGTTTGAACAATCTTAGGTGTTATCATTGAAAATTCATTCTTAAATCATAGGTCTGCAATCGATTAAATTCAAGTATACCATTAGCCTAGTATCATTCTACTGGTACAGGGTGTCCAAAAAACAGGACCGAAGAAAAGTTAGTTAACTTTGTCAATCCTGCATATTCTGCCTCAAAACTTCAGAATTATTCAGTTCATTCAATATGAATTTTGTTGTGAAAGTTTCATGATAATCTGCCTGTGGAGTCAAAAACTACAGCACTTTACAACATATGTCCAATGTGGCCACTTCTCCTCTACATGCACAATCAAATCTGGCGAAGGAAGTTGTTCAATTGTCCATGGCGTGACTAAAATCTATCTAGAGAAGTAAAACTAGTGTCAGACAAATTTTCAGATGTTCTTCAATTTTAAGTGGATAGCTTCATCAGAAGCTTTGCAATCCATGTTGGTATGTGTAGGAGAGTCATCAACAGCTTCGTTGGCTGGAGTGGTGGCCACTTGGGACATGTGTCGTAAAATGCTGTAGTTTTTTACTTTATAAGCAGATTATCATTAAATGTTCACAACAAAATCCACATTAAATGAAGTAAATAATTCTGAAATATTAAAGCAAAATATGAAAAATTGCCCAAAATAATCAACATGAACAAGCTATGATTTCATAGATTAGTTTGATGTATGACATATTCCGAGCTGACTCTCTGTTTATTAAAACCATCTAAGAGGCTTAATCATTGAAAATCATTACAAATAAAGGTCTAAACAGACAGTATTAAGGTACACTATTAGAATACCCTAATTATTTCCAGGCTTAGAGTTTATTGGTACCTACTACTGTTTCATAGCTCAGAGGTTTAATATATGATATATCCTGACTAGTTTTTCTGCAGATTTGAACCAATGACAGGTCTAATCATTGATTATACTTCATATACTAGGTCTAAAATTGAAGTATTCAATAGAACCCTCTATGAAAATTCAAAAAAAGATTCAAAATGACATTAACCTCGACATTAGATCTGAATAAGGATTAAAATCCTTCGTAGAGCTGAACAGGGAAGACAAGGCTAACTTCATTCTGGTGTTGATACATGGGCCTGGTCCAAATCTTGCTATACTTCATCCAAGCCCAAAGAAAGGGAAATTAGGAACTTCATCTCAATGCATTTCAATGCATGATCCCTTATTTCATGACCACCAAAATTATGGAAGGTGTGGCACAGTAAACTTAGAGGAAATGCACTAACTATTAGAATATAGTACCTGCTGCAGTTGAGCGAGGATTCTTGCATTGAACTATGTTGTAAAAGGCTCTACAAATTCAATCAACCAAGTTGATTGATCCCTATGCCAGTATGCTATTGGTTAGAAGGGTGGCAGAATTGTAGGCATAACACAAAGACAATATCTGCATTGAACAGATGGGCACTGGGGTATAATCTTAGGTCACACATGGGGAGTCCAAACAAGAATGATGTTTGGACTTGCTTTTTGAGATTCCATAGAGGGGGGGGGGTGGTAATTTGCAAATCAAAACAAGAATCTATGGATATATAAGCACAAATGCCAAAGGGAAGGGTGACTAAAAACATTAAAGAAACCCAACAAGAAAAGCAAACCGCAAGTGCAAATCTGTCATAAGAAAAGTAGACCCTATATATCCCAAAACCATAATCTAACGTGAAAAGAAACAATAGTTGTAGATACTAGTACTCATAAAAGATAGAGTATTCAGTCTCTGGAAGAAGATAAAATATGTGACATGCTGCTGAAATTTGGCATGTTTATAGAAGATCCATTACTTAATTTCCAAAGTATATGTACAAAAGATGTACTCACAGAAACAATCAACAGGCTCGACAGTTTGGCCAACAACTGGATGTCTTTGTGTCTTAGAGGTTGATACCAACAGGGTCAAATGAAAGACACAACATTTCTTGATCTACTGAGCAAGCACCAACATTTTTAAACTATATGCTTAATCCCAATATAAACGAGCAGAAAGTTGTTAAGGCAGACAGGAATGTTTTGCAGAATCTTATCACTGCATATGAAGCTAACCACAGATCTGTGGGCATCAATGAAATCATGAAACATGAGCTGATGTCTTTTCCAATAGCCCTCATTGACGAATGAAACATTCAAGCCAACTCAAATGTACTCTACTCCTTAACTGTTTAACAAATGGTATTGAAATGCCAACCGTAATATTTCCAATATATGATCCTTCTTACAAATTAGCATCAATTGCATCTACATCTGAGGATTTGGCCACAGTCTTCAAGGAAGCAAAACTTCAGCAGTGAAGTGTACTGTGCCCAATCTTGCATACTTTTGGTGGTCATATCTCATGAAAAAGGGGGTCATGCATTGAAATACATTGAGATGAAGCTCCCAATTTCCCTTTCTTTGGGCTATGGTGAAGCGTATCAAGATTTGGACCATGTCCATGTATTACTACCAGAATGAAAAGTAATCCTTGTCTTCCTTGTTCAGCTCTATGAAGGATTGTAATTCTGATTTACAAGAGTCATCCGAGATCACATCAATCAGTTGCTTTATTTGATTTCCAGATCCAATGTTATGGTTAATGTCATTCTGAATCTTTTTTGAATTTCCCATATATGGTCCTATTGGATTTAAATTTCAAAAATTGCTACTCTGCAAAAACTCTCATTAACTGAAACATCCCACTAATTCAAAATGTTGTCAAAGTGAGTATACGCCATTTGTCAAGAATTTGCCAAGAGTAACACAGAAAGGTTGGTGGGGACAGTGGGGGAGGGGGGGGGGATTTTTTAATATGACTTAACATTGTTCAGGGAAGAAAACTCCATAAAATGAAGATTTGTATGACTCATTGGTACTTTTGCTCTCACGTCATGCAGGCTGCTTAGAATGAAATTAGCCTTGTCTTCCTAGTTCAGCTCTATGAAGAATTGTAATTCTGATTCAGATCCAGTGTTGAGGTTAATGTCATTCTGAATCTTTTTTGAATTTATCATAGAGGGTTCTATTGAATACTTCAATTTTAGACCTAGCATATTAAGTATATTCAATGATTAGACCTGTTAGGTGGTTCAAATCTGCAGAAAAACTAGTCAGAATATGTCATATATCAAACCTCCAAGCTATGAGACAGTAGTAGGTACCAATATACTCTAAGCCTGGAATTAATAAGGGTGTTCTAATAGTCTACCTTAATATTGTCCGTTTAGGCCTTTATTTGTAATGGTTTTCAATGATTAAGCCTCTTAGATGGTTAAAATCACCAGAAAGTCAGCTTGGAATATGTCATGCATCAAACAACTAATCTATGAAATCATAGCTAAATGTAGTTCAATTATGCTCATACCAGTAGAATGATACTAATGGTATACATGAATTTAATCGATTGCAGACCTATGATTTAAGAATGAATTTTCAATGATAACACTTACAGAAAGCCAAGCCAGGATCATATCATACATGATATCATACATCATTTCTCTAAGCTAGAAAACTAATATTGGTACAAATATGTTCATAAATAAGAAATTATAAGGGTCTTCCAAGGGTATACCTATAACTTTAGATTTTAGACATCATATTTCATGAATTTTTAATAGTTGAACATGATAAAAAGCTTAAATCTTCCCAAAACTTTGCTAAAATAAGTTTTATATTTTAGATTTATTCTAAAATGCTAAATATATGAACACAGAGGGATAAATGTTAAAGCAATAGGGGTCAGTTATAGTCACACATAGAATCAGTCCCAGCTAAAATGTCATTTTTTTCTTAAATTCACTAATTTTTTTCAAGGCAATTATCAAAGGAATTACTTTGATTCTTGCAGGATTAGTAGACCAGGTATTATGCCTTTTACATGGATTTTTTTAGCATCCATCATTGCCTAATAAAAAAGTTATGACACGAAAAGTAAAAAATGGGTCATAAATTTGCCCCCTGGGGTACATACTTTTTGCTTTTATTCAAATTTCTTAAGGGTAATCCGTATCATTCATACTTCAAATGTTTATTTTATACAATGCTCATGTATTTCACTTACAAAAACCATAAAATCAAAGTTATTTTAGGTTGACGAATTTTTTCCCCCTGATAGGGGTGAATTTTGGGGGTAGGGGGACTAACATGGTATTTTAAGGGTTAAATAATCATATTTCAGCTTGCCAACATGGTTTTTTGGATTCAGCATAAAAAGTTACATAAGAAACACTTGTCAGAACACTTTTAACACTAAACGCCTACCACATTTTACAGAGAGACCTTTTGCAAAAAAGCACCCGGTCTATTCATACAGTTTCTATCACATTTTTAATGTAAGACTACCAGCACACTGAACATTAAACATTCGCGGTAAGTAAAACCCAAACATATAAATCAGAGAACACAAGGGAAGTAATATACCTAAGGAACACATCTGTTCAAATCTACACTACAAATACATGCATTATAATTACTATTAATTAATCTATTTGCTATCTAGGAAGTTCGGTAAAACCCCCATTTGCCATGTATAAGAATGATGTTGAAAAAATACTGAGACAAATGATAGGTCACAATGCATTAATTGACAAATAAGAAGGCAGTAAAAAGATGAGCATTGTTGTCGTATATTAATCTAATGGCTGAGTGGATCCCCTGCATATTTAAAGGGTTCGATTTGTGTACATATCATATATTATTATATAATAGTCGTAAACGTCCTATCATTTTGTAGCATACAGGTTACAACCCTTCAAGCAGGATCTCTCACGACAATGACATAGCTCTCCTTAAACTCAGCAAACCAATTGACATGACAAACACACATGTGAACACAATCTGTCTCCCACAGAAAGGGGAACAGTTCTCCGGACAGTGTGTTGCAACCGGCTGGGGAATGACACAAGGTATGTATGGAATAGTATAATTATTAATTATATTAATTTTGTATGACTGGTTTAAGAGAAACGTGTGTTCAAAAAGTTCCCCATATCGATACCACTCCTTTATTGATGCGTGAGTTAAAACAAAATTAGAGGTCTGGGTATAAGGCTAAAAACTAAACGAATGATACGTATCGCTCATTCTAACATTTATAACTTGATTTTATGAGGCGTGATATTCTAAGTTTAGAAAGTAAATAACATTAAGTTGAGGTCAGAATGACAATTCATCTGTTTTAAAATGTAGAATAGCTTTACTATATTATGTTAGACAGAAAGTGATGTCGATAACCTAGCTATGTGTTAGTTTCGTATTAATCCCAACCCAAAATAAATAAGTGACTATTCCAATCAAATTGTTTTATTAGGAACTGGTGACATGACTAAACTAAGAGAGGTGACAGTTCCAGTGTACACGACCTCAGACTGTAATAGACATTGGGGAGGAAGGGTATCTGATAGACAGATCTGTATGGGAACCGTGCCACCAGCACCAACTAAGACTGCATGCAGGGTAAAAAATGTTTGAATCACCTTCAACAATATATTTTAGGGCAAGACATAAGTTGTCCATGTAGCATTAAACCTGAAAGTTATTTGACTGACAAGGATTCTCATAGTTTTCCATACAGAGAATTCAAATTAAGTTTAACTTTTCCTCACAGCAAAACAAAGTTCAAAACAATAATCACATGAATGCAAACAAACTGAAAATCTACAATCTAGTACAAAAATGAAGTACTGTAGTTCATGAAAAATGATATGACGTATACGCCGGTCGCTAAATGAATATTTCTTGCAAATAGGCAAACCATAAGTTAAATGTCCAAGTTTAAAACAATATCATTATCTAATAGGGTGACTCTGGAGGTCCATTGGTCTGCAAGAAAAATGGTCGATGGGTCCAGTCGGGTGTGACGTCATGGGGAACATTCCAGTGCACTGGCAAGCCAGCAGTTTATACAAGAACTTCCGAGTATTTAGACTGGATTAATGCCAACATGAGATAAGATGTAATTTTGGAAATATTTATTATAAATATTTATAAAAATGTCGCTATACAAGGCAATGTATTTGATTTCGTAGTATAACATTTGAGGAGTCTTACTGTAGGAAATGAGGTCAAAACAAATACTCCCTCCCTCCTTCCCTTAATCTAGAATAGTTCTATTGCAAAAACATATGCATTCACTCTATCTACAGTCTCTGTACTTAGTTCCACAGGGATATACCATAGCTAGTATTTTCTTCACCGTTCCAAATCAGTGGTGATTCAACAAGATCTTCATACTTCAAATAACAAAAGAATGATCGCTCCCCTCCTTGTGCCAGTTGGCATGAAGTTACATGAACTCAAAAAACGTCCTCATGCCTATTAATTGTATCGTGCGACTGGCTTTCCAAGTTTCACTCGATCTATATCCTTAAGATCGTAGATTAAGGTTGCCCAAAATAATTCGTGTAGTCTTTATAGAGTTCAATTGCATCTTTTGGGTCAAAACCATAGTCCTCGAGTGAGTGTTTATTAGGAGTCTTCCAATCCTTTGAACACTCAGCAACATATGCATTCAGTTTATCTACAGTCTCTGTACTCAGTTCCATGCCAAAATGGGAATATATTTTCTTCATCGTTCCAAGTGGTGATTCTACAAGATCTTCATACTTCACATCACAAAATGATGATCGCTCCCCTGGTGCCAAATTGGCGTCGAACACTTTTCTGAACTCCAAGAACTTTCTCATTTTTATCATGTTGATCCGTTTGACTTCTTTCCCGATTTCCAATTGATCTATGTCTTGTTTATCATGGAGGAAGGTTGCACAGAGATATGCCATGGAGCATGATGAAGGTTCGAAACCGGATCTCTAATCAAATGAACAACCCTAGCATCGGGAAATACCTGTAGAGTCTCAGCTATAAAGGACATATGATAGGAATTCTTCAGTACGTATGGTTTCTTTCTCATTCCTGGAAAATACATTCCTTATACGTAAGCTTATCATTTAATGATAAATATACATTAAATATTTGAGTGAAAATGGAAGAATGGATCGGTCCAGCGGAAAGCATCATATATTTAACAGAGTTGTGATCACTGACGGATCCAGAAGCTAGCAAGGGGGGACCCAAATTTCAAATCTGGGGATTTTTTTTTCGAAAATTCGAGGCCCATCTTTTGACAATTTTTTGACAAAAAAGGCCAAATAATACTTTGCCCCCCTGGATTCGCCAGTGGTGTATGTGCAAGGCTGTTGGGAATAGATTATATACATCAATGTAAAATAACCTTGTTTATATCCAACTAGTTGAAGTTCCTTCTTGAAATGATGATACTGTCGTAGTTTTTCATCTTCAGTCATGCCTTCATACCAAAGCAAACAAAATACAACAGTCAGCACCATACAACGTATGCAATCCTTAACAATGTATACGATATCGTACAGATGGTACTACATTGGCTGTAGAAAACCATCCTAACAACATTTTTCTTTTTGTAGAAAAATAAGTGTCTTCCAAATATTAAGCAATGAGATCGATTAAATACTGACTATAAATTATATACAATTATGCAACCAAAATTCGTGTATGCTTATAGCAAGAGTTGACCTATTATTCAAAGACGTTATCATACAATTTCAAATCGGAATCGACAAAATGTAAATGTGATATTCGATTGGAGACCCACAAACCCTGTATTCTAACCGAGATTCTGTTAACAGCTTTTCAATGACGTGCGAACTCATACGAGTTTATATCAACTAAAATGAATTCACCAGTCATAATAACTGTGCACGTTGTATATGCCGGATATGCCTTTCCATACACCAGTTCGGAAGAATATCCAAAAATCTTCCTCGATGGACATAGGAGTCATCTCTCCATGCAGATCGATAAATTTTGGCCTCTCGTTCCACATATCTATAATTTCAAAAATGAATATTAACCATGATTAAATGAAGTCATTGTAGTTAAAGTTAAATAAAAGTCTTGAAATGATTGGGAGTATATTTACCCGCAAATGGTTGGAAAGCCTTTGCTCTGTCTTCTACAAAGCTAGCTGGAGGAGGTACTGGATTTTCATACTGCCACACAGGGGGTGAAAACAGCTGAGAATCCAAGGATAGTAAGCGGTGCAAAAATGTTGACCCACTTCTGTCGTTCCCAGTGATGAATAATGGGGATTTTACTGAAACATAAAGTCATTCACCATTTTCATTGTGATTAATTAACAAATAAATACTTATTCACATATGGCTAGGCAAGGTGTGTCCGATTCAAGCCAATCCGAACACAGTATTTTTAACCCTAGAAGCCCTAAGGTAAAAATAGTCACACGAACACCTAAGGGGGGGTCAAAAGGGCACCCCCCTTGTAAAATTTTTATTAGTAGAGCTAGGATGTTCAAACTTTTTCCACATATACTTCATTCAATTATCTACAACTTGGTATAAAAGTTTTAACAACTACGATGATGTGAGATTGCGTAATTTTATTCTTAAGACAACACGTATGGTAGAATTAGTGCGAGCTTTTTTCTGATTTTGTCTATTGGAGCTGATGATTACATCAGAATAAATAAATGACAAACTAGTAAAGCTAGGATGTTCAAACTTTTACCAAAATATACTTCATTCAATTATCTACAACTTGGTGTAATAACTTTAACAACTTTGATGATGGAAGATTGTGTAATCTTATTTGATAGATAACACGTATGGTAGAAATAGTGTTAGCTTTTTCCAATTTTGTCTATTGCAGCTGATGATTACATCATAATAAATCAGTAACCCTAGGTACAATTCTGCTGATTTTTTCAGAAAATAAGTCTTATATCTGTAGCTTCAGCTACTGAAAATTTGAAGACCCTACCAGATACCAATAAAAAGTAATGGGGAAAAAACTTAACAGGGGGGGTCATTTTGACCCCCCCTAAGGGCTTCTAGGGTTAAATGACAGCAGTGCATGAAATAGTCAATGACGCATTTCTTGACCCTTGTAAAAAGTTTCATTGAAAATATGTTCTTTTAGTGATTTTCTATCTTTTAGGTGATTTTGTAGGAAATATTTTGCAATGTGCATAAAAAATTTAAGCCCAAGCAGTGGCGGATCCAAATTTTGAGTCAGTAAAAAATGTCCGCGCTTTGTAACCCCATGCCCCCCCCCATGGATACGCCACTGCCAAGACTCAATGCATTGTAGATGTCATTCCACTCAGGCGTCGTTTCCTAAACGTTGAATTCCCGCTGCGCGGTCATGCAAAGATTTGGAAACAACATCTTCATGGTATGATTCAGCAAACAATGCACTGAGTCCAGGGCGCGGATTGTTTTCATTCTGAGCCTAACAATGGACCTAATTTGGGACTGATCAATTATAGAAGGTTTGATACGTACCTGCAGAATCTCGGGATTTCTCTCAATTGTTTCCAAGACTTTACGAAGTTTGCCAATCCTATCCTGAAAGATGTTGTTGCATACTTGGGCGCCTTCTTCGCTAATGGCTTTATCCTCTGAATAGCACTGTAGCAGGATGTCAAACGGCTTCACAAAATCATTATTTTCCCCATAGTCTTCACGGATCTCTCTAATAGCATTTTTTATTTTTTCAATTTCAATCATCTTGAAGTTCTTCGCAAATTTGTGGTTAAGAAATATTTGACCTATTGTGCACTCTCAATAAGCATGATGAGTTAAACATAAACCAGAGAAAAGTATATTTTATTACATATAAACACTATATACAAGTGTCTTGAGATTTATAGTTACAAAGTGACCCAGGGAGTGATATGGTGCTTAAAGCTACAGGCTGGGTAAAAAAACAATACCCAAGTTTAAAGATGAATATCATATGATTCATAAAATAATGGTAACATACCACAGTTGTATTATTAAGAAATATATCATTTTTAACATTCAATTTAGGTGCCTCTAGGTTTTTATGTATAATCACAAGATATACAGGGTGGGTAAAAAAACAATACCTAAGCTTCTGTGAGCTGGTCGCTGCAATGATGTAAGATTACATCAAACGCCTTGGCAATATCGGAGGTTTCTTTTTCAGGGGCGTTACATCTGATGTTTGGTATGATGCCTCTGATAATATGTCATGTTATCCGTATAATTTTATCTTTTTATGTACATAATGACGAAGAACCACTATATAAAATAGAGAATATTGCTTGGTTATAAGAAGTGTCTATTTGTAAGAATCTCTTGTAATCAGCAGTAATCAGCAAAAATACTCAGCACATATAAACAGAGACATTACAGAGACAATACTCGCTGCATATATGGAACACTCTGTATATTCAGGTATTGCTCCTCTTTATTTGTAGAACAGCACAAATAAGCACTGATTATATGTGAAGTTAAGAATACTCAAATATATGCAAACGCAATACTCTGTAACTGTGCAATATATTCACACATTATAATTGCTTCTTTCTGACTATAGCTATTTCTAAGTAACACTGCTCATTTTATAACTGAGCATACAAATAAAAAACAGACTATTTGTGCGTATTTTTCTTTTAAGCATGATAAAACAATACAACTTACCTGTGTATAATAAGCAACTAGATGGATTTTGAAATGATCTATTTTTACTATAATTATGATTTTGGACACCTTTACAGTCGCGCCATAAAAGAAAGATCTTCCTTGTAGTTATCAAAAGTTGCTAACAGGCAATCGGCCGTCATCTGCGCCAAGCCCTATTTAGAGAGATTTCTTTTCCAAATCTCTTTAAAATTTGGCACATCTCGCGCCTTCGCGATACTTTTCGAGATCTCGACCCCGACCTCTTTCTAGTCAAAAGGGGATCCCCTCCATGTAGAATGAATATGGCGACCTGAATTTTCTAAAAGGTAAGAAATTCTTCTTCAATTTGGTGTATAGAACGTTGCGATGCTTTGAAAAGAAGTATGTTTTTGGAGGGTCCGAACAACGAACATAAATTTTGAGTCGATGAGACCAGAGTACGCTGCAAACCATATCTTCAGCGGGCCATTAAACTTTGGTGTTCAAAATGGTTGAAATTCGTTTCAAAACATATCGTTTTTCGTTAATTTCAAGTAGTTTTGACGGGGCATCAGGTATCTTTCGAGATATATACGAAATAAAACCGATAATATGACTTCCGGTTTACCAATTTATCGAATAAATTGAAGGAGTTTGTACTAAAAGCCAAAGTTCTTGATCCGATTTTCAACAAAATTGGAGACCCTGTCTGTTGCAAGACTTATGCCTGGCACAACCGTCAAAATTTGAGACCTTATCTGTTGCAAGACTTATGCTTGGCACAACCGTCACCATGTTATAGTGTTTTTATTAAGTTTCGCAAGGATCCTACCAGGACCGTAGTACCACCCCCATAAATGTTGGGTTATTTTGATGTAGTTTTTTATATTTAGGACATTTGTTTGTCAAAATAATTATTTTGAGAAACAAATGTCTTAAATTTAAAAAAACTCAATATAACCCCACATTTATGGGGGTAGGTATACCGACAATGCTATATTATATTGCAAGGCCTGTCGTGACCGTGGTAACGTTAAAGCCTGATATGACCGTGACATTGATATATTATATTGCAAGGCCTGTCATTACCATGGTAATGTAAAAGCCTTGTATGACTGAGGCAATGGTTGTAAAACCTGTCATGACCGTGGTAATGACGTTAAAGCACAGTATGACCGTAACAATGGTTATATTAAATTACATTTAGTAGCATGAGAATACTGTAATGAAAATTTTCATCGTTTATCTACCTTAAATATGTAAATCTAGACAACTACTACATGTACTACTACTTTAACTCATAATTCATTTCAACAAAATGAAATTCTAATTTCATTCAAGAATGTGAACATTGTCACTGTAAAAATAAGGCTTTTACATTACCACGGTCATGATATGCATTGCAATATAATATAGCATTGTCACGTTTATACCAGCGCTTTCATGATAACAATACCACAGTCATGGCAGGATCCTTGCGAAACTTAAAAACACTTAATAACATGGTGACGGTTGTGCCAGGCATAAGTCTTGCAATAAATAGCATGTGCAAAATTGAAAGTTTCATGTGTTTTTTAGGTGTGGTCTTCAGATATACTACCATATAGTTATGTGATACGAGATGCAGCTATCGATCACTCATCACCATCAAAGGTAATTATCATACTTTTTAAATTGTCTCTCATCAGTCAAACATTCACACTTAAGCCAACACATATGTAGGCTTATTTGATTTTAATCATAAGCCTATGTAGATATATTGGCCTAGCCTAATTCATAAATACAATGCTCTTTTGGTAGTATGAGTTGGTCCTCAAAAGGGCCATTTTTTGTTGTTGCTCGGCTGGCTTATCTTCTGTATCCACATACATCAGGGGCGGATCTGGGAAACATCAAGGGGGCGGGCCAAATTTCCAGTCAGAGAAAAAAAATTCTGTGCTCGTGCGGGAAAAAATTTTGGGCCCCTGAAACCTTAAAGCCCAAATTTTGAGGGCCATTTTCTTCAGAATTTAGTCTTGAATTCAAAAATAAGGCCTCAAGGCCCACTTTTTTGGGCCTTAAGGCCTTCTTCGGGCCCAAAATTTTTTTGAGCCCAAAAAATCTTTGATGATGCCCCCTTCTCGAAATGTCTGGGAATGGCGCACATATGTTATATGCCAGGCTATGGAAATATTTGTTCATGTAATCAATTTCTTATTTCAAATTATTACTATTTTTCTTTTTTTTCAGGTGGGCCTCAATCCTATTATCATTCATTTGACCAGTGGATGTTGAGAAAAGGCAATGCTGTATTATCACTCTAGGTGCTATACAAGGTATGTTATTTCTATGCATTTTAAGTGGTGAATCCAAGAATGATAAAATTGCAAACAAGCAAAGGTATTCTAGAGTCATTGTAGAAACATATTGGTTTTCAACTCATACACAGAGGTTTCACTAAAATTTCCCACAGCAGGCTGTAAATGAAAACAACAGGCTAAATTAATGGAAATCATAAATTTAACATGGAAAACTTGAAAAAACAAAAGGCGACTTTGTGAAAATAACTGGTGAAAATATAAAATTGTAATTGAGTTTTACATATAATCCAACCTTAGATTATCAAGCTCACTTAAAACATGAACATGTGATTCTTAATAGCCTATATGATTTTGATGTTAAAACTTGCTGAAGA